AACTCAGCCAAGTTGAAAAAAAAGATATTTTCTACGGAAACTGTTCCATGAGCTTGCAGGAATTTTGGAAGAATGCATTACCACCACAAAATTGGTCATCAGTTTATTAGTCTATTATTATTATGATTTACTGCACCAAGGCCATCATGTTTACTTAGATAATTATTACTTAGATAATTATTACATTTCATGCAAGTTGTTCCAAGAGCTACGTCTACTTGGCACCAGTGCTTGCAGAACTGTCAGAACAAACCACAAAAGGAAGCCACATGCCCGAAAAAAAAGCTGCTAAGATCAAGCTCAATCAAAATCAGATCATTTTCAGACATTACGAAATACTGCATATGAACAAGCAAGATGTGCAAATTCCTACAGCAATCCACGATGCCACAGATATGACTGACAAGCGCAACAGAAAGGAGTGGCAGTAAAAAAAAATAGAGGGGATTGTTCATTATGTAAAGAATATGGGAGGTGTGGATTTGAGTCACCAGCGGCTCAAAAATATTCCTGTGTGAGGTGCTTAGTGAAGTGGTGGAAGAAATTTTATACTCATTCGTTTTGTAGTATGTAGTGAAATTCATATATCCTATACAAAAAACGCATTGTAAACCCAGACGAGACGAAGAGAGCAGATCATGTCCCAGCAGAATTTGAGATGGCAGATATCACTGTGGAAACCCTGCACATCTCCTGCTTTTTACGCAGAGTCAACTGGACTTATTGAAGACTGCCCGCTGGCGTACACACTTTCGCTAGAGTGGACAATAAGGCAAAACAACTGCCACTTGCATTCGCGCTGACGAGTGGGAAGAGACGCCGGGACTACCAGGCTGTGTTGCCGGCTCTAAAAGGAGAGCTTAGGCGTCTGCATGGTGAGGATGCATTCTTCTCCCTGGAGGCAGCATTGGCAGACTTTTAGGCTGCCGTGTGGCACGCATTCTGCCATGAGTTCCCAGGGGTGGAAATACGTGGCTGCACCTGCCACAGCGGACAAGCGGTGTTCCGCAACATCCAGGGGCTGGGGATGAAGCAAGGATATAACACCGACCCGGCGCTGCATCATTATAGCAAGCAGATCCTGGCACTGTCGTTTCTCCCGTGGTAGAAGACTGATCCCAGGCTTCAGGAGCTGGAGGCAGAGACTACAACGGAAGCACAACGACATCTCTAGGCTTATGTGCGCCTCACCTGGCTGGACAACACACTGTGGCACCCCTCCAGTGGGTCAGCCTTCTACTGGTTCGTCAGGACCAACAAAGATGTTGAGGGCTGGCATCACCGCCTAAATAGCAAGGCTGCATGAGGGCAGTTGAGTTCTGTATCTGCTGCTTCAACCCTTGTCCAGGGAGGCTGCTCCCGTATCAGTAAACCTGACCCTGTGCGAGAATCCGCAATCATCCGGCGGCACAGAAAAGCAGCAAAGAACGCCACCAGGAAGCTGTTCAAGCTTTGGGACCAGCTCATCGCAAGGGAAAAGACAGCAAGACAGATCCTGCGTGCTGCCAGCAAGCTGCTGCCATTGTAGTTTGAAGCCAGTACTTATAATTTTTTAAAACTTTTTTACAGTAACAGTTCTTTAACTGATTCACTCCGTGAAGCCATAAATACCGCGCAAAGATTTTCCCTGCAGCCCGTAAAGCTGTATGTACGACTAAACAAATACACAATCGTTTCTTGTCCGCCTTTTCCAATCCTTAAATCTCATCCATGTTTTGAATGTACCCGGGGTTTACGGACCACTAAATCATCCATTTTGAGCCACAGTTTTGAGGAATTTGGATGTTAGAAGCCATTCAGAAGCAATTTGAGAGAGACTGATCCCGACATCGTAACAAAATTGTGACGATGGCTGATGCAGCTGGCCCATCGGGTATGAAAAAGCGGCGTTTGACAGCTTAGCAAGCTTTAGATCGACTTCAAGTGGTACTAGATGCTGATATGGATATCAGTAGTAGTGGAAGTGAGTACTCTGAGTCTGAGGATAGTTCTGGTGATCATGACAGTAACAGAGAGGCGAACGTTGATCTAAACAACAAGCTGTTGAAACAGAACAATCAAAGTGGGGGTGGCAAGGGGGTGTGGACTGGTAGAAAAGGAAAGGCTCGAATTAGGCCTACAGCTAGAACTAGACCTAAAGAAACTAGATCTACGACAGATGAACCAGAGCCAGAGTATTTAGAGAATGAGTGGGAAGAAACTGAAGAGGGTGAAACTAGTACTGTGTTTGACTTTCTACCACGTAGAGAGGTTGCCAACCCAGGAGAGAGTGATGACCTGAACATCAATGAAAACTCATCTATGTTGGACAAGTTTAGTCTTCTTTGGACTGATGATGTATGGGCTTATCTTGAAGATGCCATAAACACTAACGCGCAGTTGAAAGTGCAGAAAAACACTCCAGCAAAAAGAAGGTCAGTATACAACAATTGGACCCGAACAACAGCGATTAGTAGATGAGATCTAGATTAGATCTTGGTCTACATGTTAGATATCAAGAGATTCAGAGATATAAATTACTATAGTAGTGGGGTAATTCTATTTATATCGTGAACGTAAACTGATAACTGAGTGAGCGTGTCAGTGGGGAGTGGCATTTGTACTTTTGAGCAGCATGTAGATCTAGCCCCACATCAAGAGCTGTATTCTGTCATAAGCCACTATTTAGAATTTAGTGCTGCTGACTATGTTTGCATGCAACAATTCTTCATGTTGACTAAAATATTTCGGAAAAGCCCTATTTTTTATATTGTCCACAAAAATAAAGGTGGATACCGAGCTGACGTATATTCAGTACAGATCTAGACTTTGAAAAACTAAATAATTAATCATTCATTTTTTATGTGAAATATTTTATAATCAGAAAACAAAAACCCACAACTACAAGTTTTAGTTTCTTACTTTTGCCTCTTTTTTTTGGTCTCACATGGGTAGAAACTGTTACTGATGGTGGCGGTGGAGGTGCTGTCAATGGAATCTGGACGAGGATCTACGGTGAGGACACAGGACCAGACCCTCTTCAGTCCATAGGAGTTCTTGGACCAAAGCATACCCGACCAGCAGATGAAGAACCCATAACGTATGCAAAGCTATCTATAAATGACCAGTTGATTGACAAGATAGTACTCGAGACAAATCGGTACACAGGCCAATTTATCACTACAAATGCACAGTATTTAGCAGATCATCCACATTCAAGAGTGCAAGAGTGGATTGTATTAGGGAACACCTCCCGAGCAAAAATGTATGAATTCCTCTCAATTGCAATCAACATGGGATCAACAAAAAGCCTGTAATCAGTGCCTATTGGAATATGATTCACAAAAGTCAGTCTATGTCATGGTTTGGAGAACACTTAACTTATTCCTGACGGCCTACGAGAATACTCGTATCCACCGGACTACGAGAAAATCCGAATCTCGATAGTGTCTCTCCAAAACTTGCTCCAGTCCACTATATCCATGTTTTTGAAAACTATTATAAGATTTACCGTTCGAGCACTTCCTCCCGCTAAATTCTTAGAAGTTTGGAGAGAAATTTTGTTGATTTTGAGCGTGAAAGATGGCAAGTCAGCGTCTGTTTACAACCGACGAAGTTTGTCAGGAAATTTACATGGATTCAGAGAGTGAAAATGGCGACAACAGTAATGAGGATGATCGCGAGTTTGATCTATATCCAGATTATAGTTTGCCCTTGACAAGTGCTGGACCTAGTACTAGATCTAGTAGTAGTAGTAGTAGATCTAATACTACTAGTAGAGCTGATATTGACAGTGAATCTGGGGACCAGCAAAGTGTACAAGGAGACAAACAGCCCCCACCAGCAAGTCATCGTGATGTAAAAAGGGGGCGTGGCAGAGCTCAGAGACCTCAAGTCACTTGTGATGATGTGTGGCTTGTACCTAACCCTCCAGATGGACTCCTCATGAATATGCCACCATTCGAAAGCAGAATTCTGTTGGTCTACTTGAAGAAATCCCCATCACAGATGAAGAAGATGTGAGGGGATACTTTGATACATTCGTCAGTGATGACATATTCCAGCTTTTCGCAACAGAAACAAACAGTTATGCCACACAAGTGAAAGCTCACAAACCAGACTGCTACTACCTGAAGGACTGGAAAGACACAACAGTAGATGAGATGGGGATTATGGTGGCCCTCCTCATCGCCATGGGTCTTGTGTCTAAGCCCGAGATTACCTCGTACTGGACAAAACACCCTGTTTAGGATACTCCTTTCTTCCGCAAGGTAAGATTTTGAAAAACTTATAAAATTCCTTTACAAAATCTTACTGTTTGCAAATTACCTCTTTTCATTCATAACTTGATCTAGATCTATAGTCTATAAATATAGGCTGGTCAACATACTGGTGACAAATTTACTAATCAGTCTAATCACTACTTTTTATGGGCTTACTGGCCTTACTGATCTTTCAAGTAAAAGCGTGAATATGATACGAGGAAAAAAGGAGATATAGATCTATGGTGTAGTCAAGTTGGATACTCAGGAGCCTAAAGATCAAATTTATGCACTGCACTATGCTTGAAGCTTCTGAACTGTATTACACGGTTTGATTCCATGCTCCTACATGCAACTCAATTTTATCTTTCCAATTTTACTTAATGTTTTGCTTCCTGTTTGATTCCCAGATGATGCCGAGGGACCATTTTCTCACATTGACGGCCTTTTGGCACCTCGCCAACAATGAAGAGAAGCCACAACAAAACACCCCTGAATACGATAAGCTCTTCAAATTACGTCGCCTGTTTTCCCATCTGAATAACAAATTTAGCTCTGTATATTGTCCAGAGAAGGAGCTCGCTGTAGATGAATCCCTGATGCCGTGGAAGGGACGCGTTTCCTTCAGGCAGTACAGACCATCAAAACCGATCAAGTACGGTTTGAAATTGTACTGCTGTTGTGAAGCCAGCAGTGGCTACATAGTGAACATGCCGTTCTACACCGGAGCTGGCACAACAGGACCTGAAACTGGCCATGGGAGCAAGGCGTTAGGGATGTGACGGCCGACTACGTGGGTAATGGCCACACCATCTATATGGACTCTTTTTTTTCAACGGCCAATTTATATAAAGACCTTTTGTCAAAAATCACCACAGCTTGTGGCACGATCAATAGAAATAGAAAAGGCCTCCCAAAAGAAATTACATCAAAAGAGGTGAAACTGGCTAAAGGTGCAGATAAGACACACAGAAAAAGTCACTCATTCTCTTGTGATGCGCCTACTATGTGAATCCAACCTCCTCAAACTGGGACACTATCTAGTGATTGACAATTAATTCCCTTTACCAAAACTTCTTTCAGGCCTGTTAAGAGAAGCAGACAACAGCAACAGGAACTGTGAGGAAAAATAGGATTGGTGTGCCAGCTCTTGGGGTAAATTCAAGGCTGTGGAATAAGAATGTGTTCGAGATGAGGAAAGGAAACTTGCTCTGTGTTGCTTACCAGGATGGCAGCAAGAAGCCTATTTTTTCGTCCATCTTTTCATCTGGGGGTAATGATACCTCAGTAAACTCAAAAGGGAAAAAGAAGAAGATACTTTTTACACCAGAGACAAAAATACTAGTTTTTATTGTGTTGTTCTCGTCAGGAATCATGAAAAGCAAAAAAAATTCAAGCCTTGACGTGTTGACTGTAGCATTAAACAGCATTTTGGTGATGTTGAAAGGTGAATTTTTGATAGAGCTTTGGGAAGAGTATAAAAATCTAAAATTGCTCAAAATTTGGACTTAAGTGGATTGCTTGTGACAGCGACAATATGCGGCAGTCTAGATTAGCATTGGTGAAATAATGCATACATAAATGCAGTAAACATTACCGTTACTCTAGTTAAATGCACTATATGGTCAAAATAGTAACACAGTGATACTTTATAGCAGATTTTGGATGCAACATAATTGGGGTCAGTGTTCTGGTTAGATCTTCCTCACTCCCTCCATCATGAGAAAAGGCCCTCAAATGCAGAATGGATCTGGCTAATCATGTCCGTCGTTGTCATTGAGCGGCCATGGCTTTTGAAGGCGAGAGAGTTACAGCGACGGGTGAGGAGACAGGCGGCGTATGCAGCACACATACCTCGGCCGTACGTGGACACAAGAGAGCTGGTGAGACAACAGGAACATTTCTCACTTTACATAATGAAAGTGATTTGATAGATTATATTCTGAACCAAAAAAAATAATAAATTTAGAAAAGGAAAAGCCAGTTCTTTTCCTATTTGATTCAAAATTTGAACTTCAGAGAAGGGAGCCACATTACAATATCACTTAACAATTACAAATCATTTGAAAAATAAAACTATTCATAAGGTACAAAAAGCAGAATATAGAGGAGGGCACTACTTTTTTTCTTTTTTTTTGTACAGAGCACTTGTTTGTCAGTAAAACAAAACTTCTTAAAGGTTGTTTTTTCTTCAATAGGATAAATCCACCAGGATAGGTACCCTCCTCAAAAGGTTCCATAATACAGGAAACAGACCCAACCAGAGAGCCCACCAACCATACCAGCAACACACAACAATCCAATGTCATGTAGCATATCAAAGGCAAGCCTTCAGCTTAATTGGCAACGTGCTGGATCATGATGCAGATTACCAGATTCGAATCCCCAACAGGGTATTCTTAACATTGGATAGTCTGGGGAGTTTTCAAGGCTCTCCACCTACCTGGCCCCGTCCCATTGAGGATAGATATTAAATTCGGTCTTGCTTCTCAATTAACCTTACAGTGCTGAAAGGGGCACGAAACCCGCATCATATCACACTGAACATCAAAGTTTAATTTTCAGCAGGAGACGCACATTATATTCTGAAGTCTTGCTGGATAAATAACGTTGCAGGATTAAAAGGGGAGGGGGGGGGGAAACAATAAAAGCGTATTCCATAGCAGTCAATTCATGGGCTTTGTTCTCATTATCATTCACAAATCCGGTCTTCAAAGTTCATAATTATTCTTCAGTATCAGCAAATCCATGAAGAGCAAAACAAGAATGTTTTTTTGTTGGGTTTTTTTGGGGGGGGGGGGTTAAAGAGTACAGTAGTCTCCGCCTAAACGCACGCCATACAAAAGCACGCTCCGCTCAAACGCACGCTTTCGTCTTCTGATGTTTTTTTTACTATATAATTTAGACGTACAAACGCACGGTCACTCCCTCTAAACACAGGCTCTGACCTGCGAAACACGCAGACAGGTAAGGCTTGACTAAGGGAAATTTTTTAACTACGACAAGCCCCTTACGCCGAACAAAGAGAGTGATGGACAGCGTTTTCACACCCAACTTTCCACTGACACATAGAATAGGTCTGGTCGGTGAAATGTTGGGGGGGACTGAAACGTTATTTGACTGGTCACTGGAAATGCATCTCTTTTGAGAGAAGGTTTCTGACTGGTGTTTGAGAGACTGCGTGTTGGCTAATGTTAAGTTAGACCTAAGCCTATGATGCGCAACACGTGTGAATGCTCGTTCATGAATTTACAGTCGGGGCTGGTCGCTTGGAAAGCCACGTGGCTGGGCTGTCGTCTCTATGACTATCACCAACAATTTCTTTTCAGGCTATTGGTTCCCGACATTTTATGGTTCATTCATTACATCAAGTCTGTCTTTCTGCCCCCCCCCCCCCCCCCCACACACCCATTCAACGTCTTTACAGTCTTAACCGCAGTCGGGGAATCTTTTACAAAAAAGTCACGTGTCGTCACATTATCGGCCAAATTGACCCCCACCCCAAAGGGAGGTAACTAGTATATCAAGACAATGAGAAGACTGCGTCCCTTTGCTGAGGTTCATGTAAACGCACGCTCCGTATAAGCACACGCTAAGGAGCCCTCCCGAGCACCGTGCGTTTAGACGGAAACTACTGTATGTATTTTCCAATACTAAAACGGACTTCCATATTCAGATTGTCAAAAACATATCAAATGCTTTTTTTTTCACATACTGGTTGGCAGCTATGCAATGCTATACTATACCACATATCAAAGTTTCATATTCAATAGAAACTGACCATTGGAGCTGACTCTCCCCAGCCATGCTTGCCCACACAGAAAAAGTCCCCATAGAGCCAGACAGCAGGTCACCTTGACCACCACATCGCCTGGGACTACAGGGCTCCGTGCATATCAGGACTGTGAAAAGAAGCAAGGGAAGCAATCAATGCTATCTGCCTCTCAAGGCAAAGAAGAAGAACACGGACTCACCACCAGTACAATTTTATTCTCAATATACTATCATTTTGTATTGAACCTTTAGACTCTAGTTGACACTGAGAAGTAGTTGGGGACAGCTGCGCTTAGTTTTAGTTTTAGTAAGTGTTTTACGGCACTTGCAACACAATAAGGCCTTATATAAGTGCCGAAGATTAGAGGTGTTACAAGAGAGCAACAAACATAAAATAGAAGGAGGGGAGATTAGGACGATAGATGTTTCATAGGAAAGAAGGAGCCAACCACACCAGAGCACCCGCCAACCACCCACACTGCTGGGCTTTGTGCATCAAGACTGTCAAAAGAAGCAAAGAAAAAAATCAATGTCACCTTTCTTTACAAATGGAAGATACTGGCTCTGTGCATACCGGGACTGTCAAAACAGGAAAGGAAAACGATCAATACCATCTTTCTCAAGGTGTCCTCCATGGCAATGTTGAAAGCAGAAGGAAAAGAGGCAGACCACCTACATCTTACATCACCATTATCATTGAGGTCAGAGGTTTAGAAGGGTAGCAGGAGATGGAGAATTCAGCAGAGAAGGGGAAAGAAGGCTATCTCTGGTGGCTTTTTTAGTTTTTTAGTTTTGGTAGCGGTTTTACGGCACTCGCAGCTGCATATGGTAATATGAGCGCCAAGGGGTGGATGTCAACAGAGAAGTCCTTATAGGGAATCAGACTTACTCTGCTCACCTCTCTAGCTTCAAAAGCACAAAGTCTGCTTCGACTATCAAGGCACCCCGGAAATAGCAGGTCACAAGAGTGTGACAAACATACAAAAGAAGTAGAGGAAAATGACGATAGAAAGGATTGGGAAAGAAAAAGCAGCATTTCCCTGTCGTAGTTCAGGCACAGTTATGAGCATGATATTGTTGGATCAGCCCATTTACAATTCTACTGTGCATTAGAACGAGAAATGTCCCACCTTTGGGAATGGCCTAAAGACACTTCTGTCAGTGGCACTGCCCCGGGGGGGTAAATGTGGAGCTTTAAGCAATCCAAATGTGAACATGTGTGTGCCAGTTAAGGTGAAAGTAAATGTGAAAACTAGCACAGATATGGAACTTATATCATCAGCAAATCATGTAACAACATCAAACAGCTTGTTTTTTAAAAGTACGCTCTGTCAAGTTAAAAGATAGGTATATTTTTAGTAAAGACTATCAAGGACAGACAAAACCAACAATTTATTGACAAAGACATTGACAGGGCCAGACAACAAAGAAACTAGACACTACAGAGAACCAGCATTTGCAGTGCAACAGTTAGGCTCTTCACTGTAACACACAGAAGACCAGAATTTGGTTCAGGAGTGAAGAAGTATTTTTCTCGATTATCTCCATCTGTCTGCTGGGATGCTTTATCACACTCAGCCCGGGTAGGTCCTGGCAGGCAGGGTTGTAACAGTCCACATTCCATTAGAGTTAAATTATGTTGATAGAGACATTAAAAAATTTTGAACCCTTTACAATCACACTGAAGAGAGACGTCCTTATCAGACAAGTGACTTAGACACACATGAACGTTAAACAAACACAATTCCTGAAGACGTGAAATAGTCCCACGCACCATGTTCTCCATTTGAGATGATGTCTTGGGCACCTTTCTGTACAATGGTGACATTCCCCATCTCTCTGCTCAGCTGCTTCACATTCGTCACAGACTCTTGGGGATCTGGATCACGAGAGAACTGAAAGACACAAAAAAAAAGGATAATAGCTTTCGTTCAGTTTTAGTAAGAGTTTTGCAGCGATTGCAACACAAACAGGTGATATAAATGCTGAGGTTTAGAAGTATTACTGAGGAGTAACATACGAAGAACAGGAGATAAGGACGACAGATCTTTTTATTTTGTTTCAGTAAGAGTTTTACGGCACTTGAAGCACAATAAGGTCATATAAGTGCCGAAGATTACAGATGTTAGATGAGAGTAACAAACACAAAAAAAGGAGGAGAGATCAGGACGACAGATGTTTGATAGGAAAGAAGGAGCAAACCACACCAGAGCACACGCCAACCAACCAAGGGTGACAGATCTTCCATGTGAAAAATGAATCAAACTACACCTGAGTATCCACGAACCACTCACCTATTTAAGTATTTTTAAAAACACACAATAACTGTTATTTAGTCAAGGGAAAAACTATCAAAGACAGGAGGGAGCGGGTGTTGAACAAGTTGGACCGTCCAGTGCTCCTTCAAACTACCTGCACAATATCAAAACTAATAACACAGAACATGGAAAAGAGGTTTGAAGTCTGGGTCAGGATTGTGTTTAATTTTCGTATCAAAAACCAACTGAAAAATCCACTCATCAGTCTTTTCTACTTGAAAACAAAGAAAAAGAAAATACACAACATTCTCTAAACAGAAAACTAAATCAGACAATAGCGTACCATCATTGAAAGAAAGATCCATAATTTATAGTATCATAATGTTTGAGTAAACAGTTCTTTCACTTACAATTTTCTTGTAAAGCCGACCAAACTCAGCAACATTGGGAGTCAGTATCACATTATCATAGCCATAGATGATGGAAGGGTCTTGGGTGACCAAATACAGCCCATCCTGAAAAGAAATCAGTCTCAGAAAAATTATCCTGAAACAAAATACAACCTCTATGAGGTGGGGAGGGGGTGTGAGGGGGGAAAAGTATGGGTGTAGAGAGGGGAAAGGGGGGAGAGGAGAGGGAAGGACAAAAGTGGGGAGGGGGAGGGCAGGTTCTCCTTCCTTGATCAGACAGACTGGCAGACAGCACAACCATATACAACAAAAGAACCTGTAACATAGAACAAAAACATTTTTAAAACCACATCAACAAACAGACAAAAACTACACACAAAAGGGCTATGTATGAGGCCTTTTCAAGTCGTGGGCGTACACTTGTGTGTTAACTCTGTTCATACCAAGTCAGACCTCAGTGGCCTTGGAGGAAATGTATTTACATACTCCTCCTGCATAAGTCATCTCTCAAAGATCATATCTAAATATTTCGTTGGACTACATTTCACCAATTTGGATGAAATATTGCAATTCAGTCTTTTTAAGTTTAAGTAAAAGAGTTTAACAGTACTTGCAAAACAAATTGTGACAAACAGGTCATATAAGTGCTGAAGGATAGAGGAATTACTAGAGAGTATCATACAAAGAAAAGAAGGAGGAGAGATAAGGACGATAAATGTTTGATAGGAAAGGATCAACAACATCACAGCACCTGCCAACCACCCACCAATTTTACTCAGAAGGAGATGTAACAAGATATGAGTTTACATGAGACAAGCAAAACAATAAGAGACAATACTCACTGCATCAATAATTAAGGGCAACTGTCTTTCCTTCGCTCTTAGAATCACTGCCTGTGAAAGAAAGAAATGGAATCACCAAGAGGAAAAGCTGCTCTAATGATTTGTCTGCAGTTACATACATGACGATACAATAGAGTTCATTGTTCATAGTTCACTGTTTCAGGAAGCAACATCCTTGCATTTTGTACATATTCATTGATGCTCCGTTGCTCTCTCCAAAATGCTTCTGAGGGTCTTTCTACTGATTGTGCCAGTGCATATATGGTTGAATATTTTTCTGTTCTTTCCTGCAAGGGTGCCAGAATTCCTGCTTCCTTTCTGTACTCCAAAAACCAGCATCATTTCCACAGCAGTACTGGCCTGTGCCTCCTTATCTTCCTCTTTAACCAGGTGGCGAGAGAGACATTTCAGGATCAATCGAGTAAAACACTAAAACGATCCCTTGGAAGTCTACATCATTGGAGGGGTGGGGTGGGGTGGGGTTTATCACAACATGTTATAAGTCAGCATAATAATGTGCTTTTCATGCCTCTTTGTATTGTCCATTTTTTCCGAGACAACCAGATCTGAACATAAACATTAGATAGGATGAAACTAAAGGATAAAAACTTTAATGAATATCTAAATGCATCAGATCACGGTTCAAGGAAATTATTTTATATCTTATACCAATTATAACACATTTACGTGACACTGATTTGACCAAAGACGTATTACATCAAATATTTTACCAAAATACACTCATCTATAAAATGAGGGTCCAAAAGTATCCCCCCCGTATCATACGCATGACATACAGCCAGGATAGGGCCTCACAAAGGGGATGTAATACTAAATGGATTTTTCATTGAACAATAACTAATATTTTGAGCAACTGACCACTGAAGAGTAGTTTTTCCTTCTACTACTGGCATTTAAAGTCATGCAGGCCAGTCTTAAAAGGAAGAAAGAAAGATACACAGCCAGCTTCATGCCAACTAGTACTTAATTTCAAGCATGCCAGAAATTGACCACATATTGCACACACAACCTACGAAAATGGGCCACTTTTGGAGTCTAAGTAGGCCTATACCACCCAAATAAAACACAAGGTCGTGTTATAGGCGAATATAATATATGGTGACTCTTTTTGCAATGAAATCCAGGAAATCCTATCACCGTGCAAAACCAAGCTACAAACTTACAGCTGTTGTTTTCATCAGCTGCTCCTCTCGCCCGAGGCCTGGGCCGATGACAAGCACATGAAAACGAGGCAGCCACTCGGACAGCTCACTCAGGACATTGTTGTTATCTCTGTACAAAGGGGTAAAAATATGCTCAGCATTGAAAATATTCACCGGAGACAGTACAGATCATATACACTACAATCTATTTCCACGTTATCCCTCTCTTTATTTAGAAGCAACAGCCTATTCAATTCTATTTTGCAGTTTTGCAGGCACAAAAAATTTATATTCTTTTTATTTTACTGGAACAATTTTTCTTAAAGAAAAATACCATATAAACGATTCAGAGGCAAAATAATATCAAGACGCTCAACTTTCAAGGCACACATCCGCATACTAAATACAAATTGTAGTTCACAAGAGAGAGTGCCTTTTCGACTCAGTAAGACAAGGCAAGAGATTACTTTTCCTCCATCCCATCTCTGTCACTAAAACCCATTAGATTAGCACCTTAGTTACATTTGACAAACTGAACCTACAGTTGAACACACTCTAACAGCCACTTATCAAAGACAATCATCTGTATAAAAGACTACTCATCATTTTTTCTATAATGAAATTGTCCAAGACAGCCACTTTTCTCCTTCAAATAGGTGGTGATCCTGTACAATTTCAGTTGTATCTTTTAAAGTTATCTCACTTTCATTTCTCATTCCATTTGTCTCTAAATACTAGTGGACATAAAGTATCAATGACTTCTAGTACATATATACAGTCAAACCTGTGTAAGACGGCCCCCCATTGTCAAGGAGAGAAGTGGCCGTATCAGACAGTTGGCCGTCTTAAGGACTGATCAAGATGAAGAAAACAAACCATTCCCATTTGAGGTCCCAAACGAAAATAGCCGAATCGTTGTTGTTTTTTTATGTTGTTGTTGTCGGTTTGTATTTTGTTTGTAATTTTTATTTTGTTGCTGATTTTGCTCAAGGGTGACAATAAAACGAAATGTATCAGACGAGGAAGACCGAGTGTCATGTTAAAGCTTACAAACACATGGGTCGCCACCACTCGGAGAACGAGCGACGCTTCTGTACAAGTCCATGTTGATGTCCTTTGTTACTTTGTTACACACTGGGTAAACAGTGACCACTCATCTCACTTACGATTTGTGTACGAGTTCTGGGCGGGGCTTATGGGTTATGAGGCATCACACGCTTACCTCACCAGCAGCTGAAAATTGGTAGCTATTGGTCAACAGTGGGAGGGGCCTACACAACGTGATCGGTTGGAGGAACTACCTAACAACAACGACAGGTGATTAAATTATGACGGCTCGCCAACAACGCCAGGGGCCATGCACATTTTATGACAAAACGTAAGGGAGTCACTACGCTGGCCATCTAAGACAGGTGTTATTGCTTAGTGGGATAGGGGTTGTGTGTTAAAATATGGTGGTCGCGGCCGCGTTGGACAGGTGCCCGTTTTACACAGTTAAATTATATTTAAAAAAGCAAGGGGGGAAATGGAAAGTGGCCCCTTGTACAGGTGGCCGTCTTATAGAGGTGGCCGTCACGGCAGGTTTAACTGTATATATATTTATATATATGATTTCGTTGATGTTTACCCTAACCATGACAGGTGCATAAAAAGTACTTACAGTATGGGGTGAACAATAAGCTCAGGACTGTAGCTCTTGATGACAGGTGCAGCATCTCCCGTACAGAACACGTGAGACAGATCAGCTCCCTGGGAAAACAATAAGAATAAGTTACACAGTGACAGAGCAGTGGCCAGATCATTTTTGTAAAGAACAGTTGTTGTTTTTTTACGTTTTAAAAAAGGAAATTAATGAGTCTTTTACCAACACCTATATACATTACTGAACTTGTTTAATCTAATTTCCATGTAGGCTTCGGTCTGAATGCAGGTAATGGCACAGCAAATTTGCGATAATATGAAAGTTGTTGAGAGTTAAAAATGCCATTGAAAAAATGTGAGGCTTAGCCAGATCAAGTATCACTTACAGGAACAAACATAAATTTGTTCAAGCTGACTGGTAATTTGTTTTTCAACTTTTGTTTAGATGTTAGATTATTAAGAAAAACAATAGGGCCATTCCATCAAAAGCGACACATGTAATGCAGCAATCAGTTTAGTGAGAGTTTTACGGTGCTCACAACTATATAACTACATTGGGATGATAACCTGCTGAAAAAATTTCTCAGTAATGGTAGAGCCATTCTTCATTTTTCTTTTTGTTAAGTTGAACGAAGGCTGCATCTAACAAAAGAAAGAGAAAAGAATGGCTCTGTCGCTGCTCAGAACTTTTTCAGTAGGTCATAATCTCTGTGTTACATTTGTCAGTTATCATGAAATGGTCCAACAGCATGTGTACACTTTACTTTTTACTTTACTTTTCCAATCCAGCGGCCATCTGAGTTCTAGCCCTTCAGCCTGAATTGCATTTGTACAAGCTATCAAACCATTGTTGCTTCAGAAGAAATTAGAACAATCCCAGAGTACAGTTTTTTCTTTCAGTCACATACAGGAACCGCGACCCTAACATTGTTCTCCACTCACAGTGTCATATCTAACTAACAGTATAAGACCACTGCAGGTGGTTTCACTATATTTTTTGCTTTAAGTATTCAGCATCTGTCAGCAGCCAATCAAAGAAACATTGAAATTAATCTAGATGTAATACATTATTGAATAGAAGAGCTACCGCTACCCCTTATGCTCAGAATGATTGAAATGTACCGATCAAATACTAAGTTAAAAAAATGGAAAGTGTTAGGAAAATAAAGACAGCAAGCTGCACAATGTCATTTACATCTTACAGTCCTCACTGAATATGAGATATTTAATGCTATCATTATTTCAAAAAATAAATCAAACAAATAGTATTAGTTATCACAAACGAAAAAAAAAAGTCTCACCACTTTTAGGGCCGATATTGCAGCAAAGTAAGGTGCACCAGTATATCTGCAATTTAAAACAAAACATATTTGTTAAATATGATAAGTACAAGTGTAGAAAATAAATGTGAACAGAATATTTTAAACAGATTTCATGGAATTATGTTAAACAACACTATCAATAGCATCTGTCCATGGAAGCAGGAGTTAAGTTACATGATGTCATGTAGAGAAACCAGTAATATGAAAAATAACCTTTTTAATCTGGAAAAAGATCTAAGCAGACCTCAACTTACTCTTTACATCCCCCAACAATTGCCACTCTCCCTGCCTGGCCTTTATGCATGCCATGATGAAGTTCAGGGATAATGGACTTGACCATCTCAAGCAACTGACAAGCACTTGAGCTGGACAATCGAACCAACTGATCGCTGGTTAAATTCCCTGAAAAAAAAGTCAAAATAATATCTTTAAAATGAGATAAATTATTAAAAAGGGAGATAAAGTCTTAATAAAATCAGTGTCAAAGGGACTATTCTCCCCTTCCTCGTCCTGAACTGAAATGATATGCTAATGATGTTATAATGAAATTATTAAAAGGGGAGTTAAAGTCTCAATAAGTTCAGTTTCAAAGGGACAATTCTCCCCTTCCGCGTCCTGCACTGAAATGATATCTACACATCCGATCCTGTATATCAAAGATAAAAAAGCACTTTAAACTCATTTTTTAACTTTTTTTTTTCCCTTGCATGTCCCTCAGCTTACACAGTATTCTATTTTTCTTGTAAATCATACTGCATAATTTTTTAAAGTAAATTCATGTATTCTCATACTTTCTGCTGGTTCTTGTGGATGTCTGTTATTTATGCTGTAATTGTGCCTGTCTATAATAAGTGCAAGTATTGGGTGGAGAAAGAGAGGGAAAGTCTATTTCGCCTGCGAACACAACACATACCACTAAATTCCTACCTTAATAGGATCAGCAAGGATACCCCACCCAACTGCCCGTTGTGCGACTGCCAGGATGAAACAGTACCACACCACCTCTTTAACTGCCCTGCACTTTGTGACCTGCGTAGCACCTACCTACCTGCCTCCCCAGAAATCGGAAACACTCTATACAGCGACAAAGCACAGCTGATTAAAACCTGTCAATTCTTTGCCATATCGACAGACCGAAGGGCTAGAACCCAAATGGCCGCTGGATCGGAAAAGTAAAGTAAAGTAAAGCTTTAGTAGAAGTTTTAAAACACTTGCAACACAAAACGGTCATAAAATATAATATACATTTATAAGTGCCTATGATTAGAGAAGTGTTAAACCTACAAAGTAACTAAGGAGGAGAAGAAAGAAAATGTTTGAAAGGGAAGAAGGAGCAGACCACATCAGAGCGCCCGCCAACCATGTGCACTCACAAAAATGTAGGCACACAAAAATTGATGGAAGAAGGACACGCTTAACTCATTATTTTATCGATTTCAGAGGTGGGTCTACAAATTTAGAATGGGAGATCACACCAAATGTAAGAAAGAAGGAACAGGTACAGAAACTAAAGCTCTTTTTTTAGTAAGGTTTTATGGTGCTCACAACTCCGCAAAACTGCATATAAGATCATAAGAGCGCCATGGGGTGGATGTCAACAGAGAGAAGTCCAAATGGGGAATCAGCTTACTCTGCTTCGACTATAAAGGCACCCAGGAAATGATACAATTTGAATACGAAGTGACTATTTCTCCGAACACACGGGAAAATAAACTTGACCTCTATTTCTCCAAGACAGTTTCCTTTCTGAAGATTTTTTTTTGTGAGAGTTCGGCGTCATCTTTCATTCTGCCATTATCAAGTTATGCGAGGACTGGGAAGAATCATTTTTTGAATCGAATTCAATTTCTAGAGCTAGAGATTTTTAGATGTCTGAATATTCAGATACCTCAATTGTGGTTGGGGCAACGTTCCCGGACTATACTTCATTTGAAAATGCCTTCTACTGTGAGAAAACAAGACAGCTCGGCTTTGGCAGTAACCTATTTTGCATTTAGCCACCCCTAAAGCAAAAACTATTTTAAAAACGAAGTGACTATTCGGACTCGAGTCCGAATTGACAAATATTATATTCGGACTCTGAATTGAGTTCAGCATGACCTCCCTTCTGACTTCCAACCCTTGTTCCTAAATGTTTCCAGCATTTATGAAAATATTTTCGATTATAATGATAACAATCGAGACGTGAGCTTTAATATCTGGTATCTGATCTCGAGATTTTTTGGTTATTTGCGAGATTTAGGCGTCATCCTTTCATAATTTCATTCTGCCATTCTGCGAGGACTGGGAGGAAGCATTTTTTGCATCGAATTCCATTTTTAGAGCTAGATCTAGAGATTTTTAAATAGTCACTTAGAAAAAAAAATCCCTCCACACCCCCCCCATCCCGTTCACACCTTATACACACACACACACACACACACACACACACACACACACACACACACACACACACACACACACACACATGGGTCACTCCGTCCATTCGCATTATACAACAAATCTCGAGAATGGACACCGTTCGGAGAAATAAAGTTCAAGTTTATTTTCCCGAACGTTCGGAGAATAGATTCTAGATCTAGATCTAGAGCCGGCCTAATTAAAATGACAAGACCAAGTCAATGATATGTGACAAAAGTAATTAATTCACCATTTGCGTGTAGAAATGCGTTAGATCGTCTCTTCAAAAGAAGACTGAAGAGGTAGGAGACCACTGTGAGCATACTTGACCAAATGTCAAAAACTGCAACGGTAGAACTAACAATTCTTGTTGAGTCAACAAGTGTACTAGACTTCTAGATTCTAGATCTAGATATAGATCTAGATTGTAGCCTTGAGGGACTCCGGGAGGAAAAGAAAAAGCGATCTATTAATTTCGTTTTCCGTAAATTTCTGTTTAATTTGTTTATATGTGTTAGCTTTTTTATAGGCAGTCTAGAGGGGCCTCTTCAGTACAGCTGTAGGCAGTTTACTGAATATTAGAACACATTGGGTAGTATCATTGCCAACAGTGCAGTAAATAAATTATGATTGCTACAATAAAATTTGCTTTGATAGAAATGTGTGCATTGACTAGCCTGCTCTCTACTGCTACAACCACAGTAACAGTAAAATAGAAAATTAGGCCAACCAATCGGTTAAATGATCTGCATGTGCAACTTGGCAATTTTCATTATTTTGCAAGGGGAAGTACTCTGGAAGTTTTGTTCGACGGAAGATAAAAGAGTTGTTCCATTATCGCAGAAAATGTTGCCCGACAGCCGGGCACGCAAGAAGCACGACAAAATCCCGGCATCCGGGCACCTTTAAACAAAGTTTTATCCGGCATTCGGGTGTACTTTTTCCACGATTAACACGCACAAAAAAAGTCGTTGAAGAGAGCAGTTTCTACAATAGCCTAGCTTAATATTACGGCAGGAGCGCTCTCCACGTTCCTTTTTTAACAAAACAAAGTGATCCACATTCAGAACATGCATGTGTGTACCATGTGTGTGTGTGTGTGTGTGTGTGTGTGTGTGTGTGTGTGTGTGTGTGTGTGTGTGTGTGTGTGTGTGTATGTATGTGTGTGTGTATGTATGTGTGTGTTTGTTTGGTTTTTTTGTTTGTTGTTTGTTTTTGTTCGCTTTTTGTTGTTTTTGTTAGTTTGTTTTTTGTTGTTGTTGTTTTGTTTTTATTTGGGGGGGGGGGCGGCAAAATTATGACATACTGCTTGTTGCTAGGACTGGACAGTGGATTAGTTAGCCTAAAGGGGCCACCTCCAGCTGAACATGGGACTGTAGGCCAAAAACAATTTGACTTACAATTTTACTCTCTACCTTATTCATAAAAAAGCCATTCAGTTGACTAGGCCCCTACGGATGAGTTGATGTCATTGGGGGAAAGGGGGGGGGGGGGGGGACAACGCATCCAAAGAAGTTCAACTTGACCGTTGGGACCTGTAAAGAAGAGCAAGAGCTGGAGACCCGAGGGGGAAAAAAAGGCCCTAACCAAAGATTAACGCAAGCAGAGTCGACTGTAATAAGTTTAATTCCATTGTTTTTTTCAATTTATTGATTTATCGGTAGATTTTCTCAAATTTATTATCTATTTATTTATTGATAGGTTAATTTTTAATTCATTTAGATCTATTGATTGTGGTTGATTTTTTTTCTTTTCATTCTTGATTATTTCTTATTTACTTATTATTGTTTTTCATTCTTTTCTTTTCTTTCTTTCTTCTCTTTTCTGATGTTTTTTGTTTGTTTTTGTTTTGTTTGGGGGTTTTTTTTTGGGGGGGGGGCGGGGGAGAGTGGACCATCTCTCTTTCTTGATGCTTGAATGCTGTATTCCACTAACACTAAGCCTGTGTGGCCCAGATTTATAGGGTTAAAACTGCTTAATGCCTCCATGACTGCATTTACTTAAAGGCTACATATACAGTCAAACCTGTGTAAGACGGCCACCCATTGTCAAGGAGAAAAGTGGCCGTATAAGACAGGTGGCCGTCTTAGGCAGGACTGATAAAGATAAAGGAAACAAACCATTCCCCTCTGAGGCCCCAATCGAAAGTAACTGCATTGTTGTTGTCTTTGTTAGTGTTGTTGCTGTTGGTTTGTACTTCGTTTGTAATTTTTATTTTGTCGCTGATTTTGCACAATGGTGACAATAAAACGAAATGTATCAAACAAGGAGTGCCATGTTAAAACAAACACATGGGTCGCCACCACTCGGTGAACGAGGGACGCTTCTGTAACAAGTTCATGTTGACGTCCTTTGTTACTTTGTTACAGACTGGGTAAACAGTAACCACTCATCTCACTTACGATTTGTGTATGAGTTCTGGGCGGGGCTTATGGGTTATGACCTATACGTTCTTATACTATCTCTGACCGTCTAGGTTATGACGGATCACACGCTTACCTCACCAGCAGCTGAAAATTGGTAGCTATTGGTCAACAGTGGGAGGGGCCTACGCAAAATGATCGGTTGGAGGGACTACCTAACAACAACGACAGGTGATTGAATTATGACGGCTCGCCCACAACGCCAGAGGCCAATGCACAATTTATGACAAAACGTAATGGAGTCACTATCACTAAGGTGACCGTCTTAGACAGGTATTATTGTTTAGTATTATAGGGGTTGTGTGTTAAATTATTGTGGCCGCGGCCGCGTTGGACAGGTGCTCGTTTTACACAGTTAAATTATATAGAAAAAACGCAAGGGGGGAAATGGAAAGTGGCCGTTTGTACAGGTGGTCGTCTTATAGAGGTGACCGTCAGGGCAGGTTCGACTGTATTTATTAATCTATTTTTAGTTTAATTCATTCATCCATCCATCCATTCATTTATTTGTTTTCTTATCTAGATGTATACATTATTATCTAGATGTATACATGTATTTATAATTTTTTATGCGTTTCTTTGGGGGGGGGGGGGGGGGGGTTGTTGAAATAGATGCACTTTAAATTATTCATATCATGTGGTTCACTTACAGGCTTAGCCTTTTTTATCGTAGCAAACCATGGGTGAACTAGAAGTCTCTTAGAAAGATCATATAAAGAACAATCTATTCATCTTTCTCATCTTACTAAAATGTAAATAAGAGTTAATTGTGGTAAATTTAAATTGAAGGTTTTTAAAAAATAAAGAATTGTCAAACAACACAAATACTGCAAACGGTTTACCAGAAGGCATAAAAAGTTGATGATTATGATCCAGACAACAGGCTGTCACAAGCAATACATCCTTGTCTCGTTTGGCTACCAATTTTATCTTTGCAGGGCAGTTTAACTTTTTGGACCTGAAACAAAGGATAAAACAACTTTTGCCATTTCTTTTTTTTACTTTTTTAAAGTTAAAGGAGCCATTATTTCATTAAGTTTAAGTTTACTTAGAAAAACTGAGCATGCAGGCATTATATTTGTTATAATAAATATTTTCTCAGGACAACCTTTAATGCAAATTCAATTCAAAGTTCAAGAGCGTGCAGGGCGAGAGGTGGAAATATAAAGAGCTGTTGTCCATTTAATTAAATAGATTCTTAAATATTGAGCAATTTGAAACTACAGTGGAAACCTGATATAACAGGGATGGTGGGAGTAGAGAAAATGTCCTGTTATATCCGATCCCTGTTAAATCAGAAATGCAAGGAAAGTAAGCATTTGTAGACTAATCCAACTGTACTTATTCATGGGTAGTTTCTCTTGCCACAAGTACCCGCGAACAGGGGTTTTGGCACCAACTTTCTCCTTGCCTCCTTAAACCACATCAAAAGAGCTTGGTCCACAGCATCTGCATCGGGTAGTCTCATCTTCTTTCGATTCAGAGCAAACTTTCCATTGGAGTACGCTGCCACTATTTTCGCTCTATCCTTGATAATGGTGTGAATCGACCCTTGTGGAATGTCGAACGGACGACAAATCTCTGCCCGTGGAGCTTGCTTTTTGTCAACAGCCTGGATTATTTCTGGGTTTTTTTGTCAATTGAAAGGCATTTTTTCTTGCGCTTGACATCGTTGGTGATAGTAGACACATTACGCGTGCGTGTTGCTAGGTTTCGGGCTAGATCGAGGTCTGCAGCACACTGCAGCCCTCATCTCGCTTCACACGCTGCGTGTCCTTGCAGTGGCATGGCTTGCGTGTGCTTGCTCCATCACTGCGTTACTCTCTCTTTCTCTTTCTTTTTACATACACATTGTTAACGAGCCTTTGTCCCTTCTATAACCGGTCGGGCTCCGATGAGGCCCTGTTATTGCCGATAACTTTTAATAGAGACAAAGAGCAGGAAAAATCGGGAATTTTAAAAATCCCGGTTATTACCGGATCCCTGTTATTACCGGGCCGGTTATATATATGGTTTCCACTGTACTTTAGCTCCTAGAATTTATTTGGCCCTACGGTACCCCCCCCCCCCCAAAAAAAAAAAAAAAAAGAAAGAAATTATAGCAGATACAAATATTTGTGCGAATGGAAGGCATGTCGATCTTGGTTGAGAGTATTGTTATTGCCAACTAACGGTTAACTGCCATGTACTTACGAGGTTTTATTGCATGATGATTTTGACTTGAATGTTCCACCATGAACGCACACCATATCAATAAAGGAATATTGAAAATCTGCTTTATAATGCAAGGCTGGATTAGTTATCCGGGCATTCATCTTTGCAATTGTTCTCAGGTTCTTTCCTTTGACCTAAAAAAACCAACAAAAAAAAAACAAGTGAAAGAACAGAAAGAAAAGATTGATCAACTATCACACCTTGAAGATTACATTGTCATGCAGATACAGACCTAGCGCACTTTTAATTTAATTTTGTGTGACATCGTATGTCGTGAAATCAGGCACTCACCAAAATAATGAAACCAACGAAATGGACATTTTTCGCTCTTTGGGCAATTTTTATCAATTTTTGAGGGAGGCCCCAATTTAACACGCTTATAAATCATGTCCTTTTAAAAATTAATTTCAGTGTGAATTCTACAGAAAAACATTGATTAAAAGGTACAAAAATTGCAATTTTTTTCGCACTTTTCAAGGACATCAAGCTTTGGAAATAAATCACCAAACTTTGACGCCTATATATCTATCTATCTATCTATCTATCTATCTATCTATCTATCTATCTATCTATATATATATATATTTCTTGGCAATTTTTTTCTCGCATGACATTATGGTGACCCGCTCGACAGCAATCGCAAATATCTCGTGAGCGCTTGATTCCAGTCGTGTGGTGATACATTTTTATGATTTATTACTAAACCTGTTCAGGTTCAGGAATAATCAATGCATGAGCAGTTTAGAAAAGAAAAGAAAAATAATCCGCCCGTGTAATATACAGAATAGTTGAAAATTAAGGACAAAAAAGCAAGTTTGAAATATATAGGCCTATATTTATTATATTATTGTGCATCCTAATACAGGTTCTGTTATAGAGAGACATTTTATATAATGAAAAGATCATTGCTATGGCTATATATAGTATTATAATATAGCCTATCCAATACTATATTTACTAACTAAGGCCCTACCCAAAGAAATGAAATTTAATTTGAATGATTACAAAAAGATATATGTATTGTCTTCATCCAGTGTCCAATTGTCCCCTTAGGCTTACCCAGATCAAATATTTAAAATAGTAAAAACACTTTTAAAAACATCTCAACACTCAATTGAGATTTTTTTAAATATACAGATGCCAGTGCCAACCTTGATGTGTCATAGAAGAAAATATACCGGGTATTTGAACTGCATGTCGCTCCTCACTCCACCCAAACCTCTCTACATAAAAATTAAGTGTCTAGGCAGACAAAAATTAATTAGTTAAAAGTATCATAAGATCCCTGAGGAGAATGTATTGGTTCTACTGTTCACTGCACTCATATTTGAAGACAAGAGGCACTAAAGACAAAGATACCTCCGGATACCGGGCACATTGGTAGAATTCAGCCGGCAGCAATGTGTCGGGTCCCGGATACCGGGCACTATATTTGCCCGGATGCTGGGCAAAAAATACCGTAGATGGCCTTACCCATTTTTCACCAAGATAGTCTTTCCTTTTATTCAAAACTTCTTGAAAACAATGAAAGCTTACAAACATTGAGCCGACTTCGACATGATACTCTGAAATCACAGGATTCACAGAAGACGCCATGTCGGCAAGTAAACAAAAATAAAAATGACGTAGTCAGCATGTCGGGCAAAATTTGTTACAGGAAATGCACCCGGGTGCTGGGCAGGATTACGGAGCCTCCTTGAACGTAAACACTCAGTCCGGTGCAATCATTTGATCACTTGTGCTGCTCGTCAGGTAGGCTAGGGAGAGAAGCCAAGTGTGTCTCCGTCTCTGTCTCCTCTGCTTTGCAATTGATCTGAAAATGTGAGACTTAGATCTAGATCTAGATCTAGATCTATATTATAAGAATAAGAGCATGCACATTGACTTTGATATTGAATTTGTTTTCAAGATTGTCGTCGAATTTCTTGGACTTTACAGCAGTAGCCTAGAATCTATAAAATCTGTTCAAATCAGTGTCAGTTCCAGTGTCAGAGTACTATTGAGTGTATCACCATTACCATGATCACCAATATTTAAAAATGTTATAGCCTAGGCCCTATTATATGATTGAGCTGAATTTGCTGATGTCCAGCCTGTCATTGCAATTATGTTGTGAAGTTGTATACAGTGGAACTCAGATTCAATGAGGTCGCCGGGCCGGCGATTGTCAAGATTTCCGCGTTTAATTCCGATGTGCGTTTTTCATAGCCTCAGGTATGTTTCGCTTTGGTCCCTAACCCTAACCCTAACCCAAGCCCAAACCCTGACCCTAACCCAAACCCTAACCCTGACCAGGGTTAGGGTTAGAGACCAAAGCGAAACATACCTGAGGCTATGAAAAACGCACACATGATCGGAATTAAACGCGGAAATCTTGACAATCGCCGCCGGGCCTGACTTAAAATCTCGTTGAATCTGAGTCCGAGTGTTCGTTTTATAGATCTAGCAAACACGAGGTTTTGTGTTTATAATTACAGGCGCTGAGCAAGTAATGTATTATAAAGAGAGAAGTCACAAGTATTGCCTCAAATGCCTGCATATTAAATAATATTATTAGATCTAGAATCTAGATCTCTAGATTCTAGCAGGCCTAGCTGTGTAAAAAAAAGACCGACTCGTTCAAATACACACGCCTCCTGTGTCTTCTCCATTGTTTACCAAAACGTTGTGTTGCTGTGTAGAGCCTAGCAAACAGCAACATTTGATTTCATAGACCAGCGCACAATTCATTACGTAGATCTAGATCTACGTCAAGACTAGCTTTATCATTGTAATAATGATCAGTTGCAGGGGGAAAAAAGACTGTGACGCGTTGCGACGTTCAATGCCCAGACCGCTAGTGCCTCTGCCCCCCTCCCCGACACACACACACAGCCACATGTGTGCAGGCTGCCCATCCAACCCTGACACATGCCAGAGTAGACCCGTGCGCGTGCCAAAACGCATGTGTTAGTATGAAAAAAGGCCGCTGATTGGTCGCATGCAATCGGCTAAGGTTCACGATGCATGTGCAATGGATGGTTTCCGGGAATACCGGTAGATAAAGTTCGTTCTGGGAGAAAAATGAGCGAAGCCACGTCTGCGACCTCGTTGAATCCGAGCTTGCTGATTTAAGTGCTTGTTGAATCCGGGTTATTTTTATTGATTTTAAAGAAGAAGAAAAACGGGGAATCAATCTCATCTCGGTGAATCCGAGTTTCACTGTATACGAAGTGACTGTTTCTCCGAATGCTCGGGTAAATAAACCTGATCTCTAGACGTCTATTTCTCGGTTTCCGTTCTGGAGATTTTTGGGTTATTAGAGTGAGATTTAGGCGTCATACGGTCATCTTTCATTATCACCATTATGCCTCTACGAGGACTGGGAAGAAGCATTTTTTGTATCGAAGTCAATTTCTAGAGAGCTAGGTCTAGAGATTTTTAAATGTTTGAATATTCAGATACTTCAGTTGTGGTTGGGGCAACGTTCCGGGACTAGGCTATATTTCATTTGAAAATGCGTTCAAAAGGTACTGCGAGGAGACAAGAGCTCGACCTTGGCAGTAACCTATTTTGCATTTAGTCACCCCTGAAGCAAAACCTAAAATCCTTCATGTAAACCCCCCCCAAAAAAATCCCTTCAACCCCCCCTCCTCTCCGTTCACAACATATGCGCGCGGTGCCACTCCATTCGCAAATTATCAACAAATCTCGAGAACGGAAACCGTTCGGAGAAATAGAGTTCAAGTTTATTTTCCCGAGCGTTGGGAGAAATAGAGCCGGCCTTATGTAAGGCCTAGTTTGGAAATATCTGTAAGTAGACCCGAAACACTCTCCTTTTTCCAGCAACAAAGAGAGACCAATCTCACACCTTTGATATTGTGATTAGTGATTAGAAAGGCCCTCATAGTCTAGAGAATCTAGAATCTCTAGGCCTCCTTCACTCGGTCACTAACAAGGAGTTTCCCTCAACTGATGTCAAAATTAATTTGTTCATGTGGTAGAAGTGAAGTCTGAATGGTAGTTTATTAGGAATTTAGAATTTAAAAGTTAATTTAGTAGCGGTAGAATCTAGGCCTAGAATCTAGTTTGTGATTGAAGTTTAACTGTAGAATAAAATTCATTACATAATAATTTCATATTTGAACCTGTTAAATTTGTTCAACCAAAATGAAATTTTATGATAAAAAATTATCATTAGTTAGCCTTTTGGTTGAGGGGGTAGGAATAAGGAGTTCCGTAGGAGACCTTGATGACAGGGCTGAATGTTGATGGTCGCGGTCCTTTTGTAGTGCTAGTTTAGTTGCCGGTCTACCGTGCTGTCCCAACAACAATATATGGATGGCCTACCGTAAATCTCTAGGACTAATTGACCATGGTGTATTGATCGAGTCATCAAGCATTGCGTAAGTTTTACCTGATTTGCCACGGTAACGACAGCGTTGGAGGAATTTTAATTTAGATCAAACGTGGTCGTGTTTAGGCCTACTCATGCATAATTATGGTGTGTGTGGATGGTGAATTGCCCTTGCTTATTTTGCTGGGATGAAGATTATAAATTGAAAAGTAAGCAAGTGACCAGTTTGGATGATGTTGACTCCTAGTTCATGGATAATATAATCACATCAGAGGATTTTGCAGCGATATACGTCTGACAAAATTAAGCATGACATCAATTGACTAGAGGACAGGACCAACATTTTTAATGCGCAAATGGCAGTCTGCTAGCCTGTATAAACATAGGTAGCCCTAGAGGGAAAGACTACAACCACCAAGCAAAATATTTCTTTATGGGCCAATAATAGTCCCAAGCCTGTGAATTAAACTAATCCTTGTTACAAATTGAGACGGGTCCACTGAGTAGACGACAAATATTTGCGTAGACGGCAACTAAACCAGTTGTCAGTACGATCTAGCTGTAGGCTGTCAATTGAACCACAAACATAGCGATAGACCAACAAATTAATGGGCACCCTTTTTTTTCCTTCTGAATTTACGCACAGCGATAATCCACCATGCAACTTTTGATAACCTGGATGTAAAACTCTTGGTGAATTTTTACATAGTAAACCTTAAATATTGGGCATTCTGATCATTTATTGAGTGCCAAAATAAATGACGGAACATTTTTTTATCAGGATTGGGCTTTACTGAATATTTATATCATGTGTGTATCAAACTGAACATTTAGGGTTCGGAGATTGCATATATATATATATATATATATATATATATATATATATGTACACAGCTTAATTTAAGAAAATGGGGAACATGAAAAATCATATTTTTAGAACTCCATATTCACCATTATTTTCATTTTGAGCTCCGTTGTCTATTGACGGTTAGGTACACATGGATTTGTAACCGCTGGATATAGAAATGGAGGTAAAGCTTATCCCTAACCGTCCGATTACTGGTGCCCACTGCTGACGTCGCACCTTGACCTTGAAAATATCTTTCACAATTCATTATAATTTCTGTATTATAAATCAGTGTTATTATTTTGTCTTTGATTCATCGTTTTACTGAACATTTGCTCGCCCTGTGATACCAGCATTGCTTAATTATATTACAAAAAAGGCCAGCTTAATTTATTTTAAAGAGATCAGTATGCATGATCTCTTGAGGTTTAAAAATACACACGAAATCAGTTTTCTTAAAAGAAGTTGGTGCACCCCTCACTCACAAAAGTGACCATACCTCAAAAACTTATTGAGATGTAAACATATGAAAAATTTTACAAGGCCAGAATCACCTGGATAGGTTAGGCGTTGCAGAAATGCAAATATCTATACCACCATTTAGTGAAATATTGCACATGTGGACCCTTTTCTCAGACACACACATATTTTTCCATTCTCAAGCTCTCAGTTTCTCTCACTTTAGACTATTGAGTGCAAATAAAAGTCTTGTTCAAGCTAATTTAATTAGCAATGCATGTTTGCATCTATTGATAAAGCTATTATAAGGGCCTTATGATATTCAATTATTATAGTATATGATTGTGGGTGGTTGGCAGTTGCTCTGGTGTTGTTTGCTCTTTCTGTCCTATCAATTATCTATCGTCATGATCTCTCATCCTCCTTTTTTGTGTTTGTTACTCTCTTGTAACCCCTCTAATCTTTTGGGCCCTTATCTGACCTTATTGTGTTGCAAGTGCTGTAAAACTCTTACTAAAACTACACTAATAGTATATGATTTCAAATCAGCGATTTTGTAACTCTTGACTTTATAACTCAACAGCATGAAGTTGTTACATCTTGGATGAGACACAATGTTGCGACCAGGATGTGCAGAGCTTCGGGCTCTGTTGAGCTCCTTGAATCAGCTGCGGCAAGCAGCTGTGAGACCAGTGCTTCTCTGTAGAGGTTGGTTTTATTTATGAAGAGTATATTTCATCTATTGGCTACCTTAGAATTACAAAATTATATCTGACATTTTTGCCCGTTTTGAGTTACTAAGACCATGAGGTCAGAAACCAAATGTTCTATCTACTTTATCAAAACTAAGATTGCTTGGAGTCGTTATCCAGATATTCAAAGAATTGCATTGAAAAAGCTTGACATGTTGTGAAACTCAAAATATTTTAAGTCAAATTTCCCGAAACTAGGCACTGAACCGGAATAAAGATTAGGCTGGTAAATCTGTTGGTTGTTCGGGGGGGGTTTCCATTATTCTATTCTTTTTTTTTTCCTTTTAAGGGGAGGGGGGAAAGCAGCTTACTGATTGAAGTGTTCATAAACTGATTTATTGCTTTTTGTGGAGAAGTTATCGTTTTGCTTTAACATACATGGGTGTATGATAATCTTTGTACAGTATTACTATCCTTATGTCATTTTAAATTGTCAAATTGGATTACAAAATTTCTCACTCACTGTCAATAGCCTGTGTAGCTTAAAAGTTAATTATTTAAGATAAGATAATAAGATAAGATAAGACAATACTTTATTATCCCAGAGGGAAATTTTTGGGATAATAAAGTATTATCTTATCTTATTTTTGTGTTATGCTGTGATATTGTACTCTGAGATCATATCGTGTATCATTTTTGTTGTTGCTTGTTGCCTCCCCCCCCCCCCCCCCCCCCCCCCCCACCCCCCAAGTCTGAGCTCGTCTTTATCTGACAATTACTTTTATGTCCCCATCAGAATGCCAGCGTCACTTGTCAACACAAAAGCCAGTGTCGAGTTTCCTTGTGATTCCGTCGTCAACTCCAGCCGTCCCCGCGTCAGGGGTGCAAAGCTTGGGTTTCTCTAGTCTTCGCCTGCGTGGTTTTCGACATGATATGCTATGCGTCGTGCGTCCCAGCAGGCACTTCTCCATGAAGTCGGATAAAACTACTGGTGTGGATGAGAAAGGCAGTCATGTTCTCCGTGATGTTTCTGCTGCTGCCAGCAAAGGTTCTAAGACTTTGGCCAGTGGAGGTGGCGATGAAGCTAGTGAGAGTGAGGCACAGGCGGATGGGACGTCTGAGAAGAAAAAGAATAAGCTGCTCAGGAGTAAGCCTTCATGTGTTCCTTTTTCTGTTAAGAGATTATTACAACATCTAAGTCTAAATTTTAAAAATCTTTAAAGACACATTTAATGACATCCTTTTAATGTCAGTAGATTCATGTTCAATACAATGTTATGTAAATGACTATGTATCCATTTATGTATTTTGTGAATTGCAGTGTGCATATTATTTTATGCTCCTTTCGTGACGATGTGTAAGCGTGTGCGTGTGATAAGCAAGTAGATGTGTGTGTGTGTGTGTGTGCGTGTGTGTGTGTGTGTGTGTGTGTGTTTGGCGTACATATGTGTGCACATGTGTGCGTGTTATGTGTTCGTGAGTGTGTATGTGTGTGTTCATGTGTGTGTGTATATATATATGTGTGTGTTTGTGTGTGTATGAGTGTGTGTATTTGTGTGTGTGTTTGTGTGTGTGTGTGTGTGTGTGTGTTTCGCGTGCGTGAATATTGTTTGTACATGCATTTATGTAAAGCGCCTAGAGCTGTGTTTACACGGGAGTGGGCGCTGTAGAAATGATCTTCATTATTATTATTATTATTATTATTATTATGGTCGCAAACGTAAAATTTACTTTTAAGGAATTTTCAATTAACCATTAACAGAAGTTAGGAAAGTCATTAGGTTTTGGTTTGTTATCATCTTAATAGGGTTTCTGTGAATTGATTTATAAGAGAAATGAAACTTTTATTACTACTTTAAGCTGAAAGTTCATCTAATTGAAGACATTGAGACATCTCCTTTAACTTATGATAAAGTGGTATTTATAAGCAATTTTTAATCTTGCAGTTACACCAAGGTCGAGAAAGCCGAACCCTGTGGACTACAGCTACACAGGGAACATCTACATTCTACCTCAGCGGGCCCTCATGGAGTACCTGCTGAAACCCAAGTGAGTGTTTTATATGATAGCCCCTCTCCCCTCCCTTTATAGTTAACTCTTGTGTTCTTGGATGGTAGGCTGATTTTTTTTATTTTTTAAAGTTTTAGTTATAGTTTTACAACATTTGCAATACAAATGGGTGATTGAATTGCCAAAGATTAGAGGTGTTACTAGAGAGTAACATACAAAGAAAAGAAGGAGGATAGAAAATGATGATAGGTATTTGATAGGAAAGCAGGAGCAAACCACACCAGAGCGCCTTCCAAACTCTCATGTGTCATGATTTTAATGTTTATTAATCATCATGACAGAATCTTTAAATTTGATCTCTTTTGATAATGCTAGCTGTCAAAGTGTCTCTAAAATCGGATACCTGATGGTGGAAAGAACCATATTCAGAAAAGCTGCCAGGAGAGCTACTCTCTGAAAGGGGCATGAGTTCTAGAAAGAGTAATTACAGTCGAAATTGTCTAAGATGGCCACCCATTGTTGGGGAGAAAAGTGGCTGTCTTACACAGTGTCAGTGTAAGTGGAAAAAAAAAAAATGCACAAGGGGGGAATGGGAAGTGGCCTTCTATACAGGTGATTGTCTTATACAGGTAGCCGTTAGAACAGGTTTGACTGCATTTGATCTATTACTGAATCTGTACCTGCCCCAGTATATTTATGCTATTGTAACATCTGTTGTTTGGACATTGTTTTCACTTTTTTGGGGGGGTAAAAAAAAGGTGTATATCAATGAATGTTAAGCTCTTGGTGTTGTGGAGTTCATCCAAAATTAGACTGGTTTTGTGAGTAAAGTATTTTATTTGTGCCACTGAATTATCAACACTGTCTGTTAACAGGGCAAACTTGATTAGTTTTCGTATCTGTCAACCAAAATGTAAAAAAACATGTGTAATACAGATTGAAAAGCATGAATTTATAGAGTGCATAGAAATGTTTTTGAAGGGTGTGGAGAGAACTACCATCTTTACCCACAATCTTGATCCACCCCATAGGAAGAGTCCCCTTTTTCTGTCTAGAAAAGTTGGCAGCTTTGAGTTTTATGAGATAGCAAACCCCTTGAATAGCATTCTATTTTTGTTTGCAGTGACATTGAAGACCTGCCAAAGTATACAAGGCGGAGTCCGTATGCTGATGGTACCCGTATCACATTGTACCTGAGATCTGATGTAGAAGAAGTGTAAGTATGGAGCTTTTCTCAATCTGCTTACGGTACAGTGAGAAACACCATTTAGAAGTAACTAATGTCCTACAGGAGTAGGTGAGAATGGGTCAAGAACTTTTTTTAATGTTTGAAACTAAGAATTCTGTAATTGCTTGAGTGTTGATTTACAAGAGATGATTAGTCGGAAATGTGTTTTATATTTTTTAATTTGTTCGAATCAACATAGTTTATATATATTCTAACGGTTAAAGGTGAACAAGAACAAGATTGCAAAAATTGTGTTGTTTTGGGAATTTTAGCTTTGTTGGGTTTTGTGTTGGCTTCTGGGTACACTGGTGTCTGTAGAGTAATGGTTAGGGTCTGCACCTTTCAAGCTAAAGATGAGAATTGTATTCCTCCATGGGCAGAGCTGGTTGTAACGGAGTAGAAGTACTCGGGTATTTGTACCTACGTTACAATTTTCTGAACTTTTACTGTACTCCAGTACATTTTGAGAACCAGTACTTTTACTGTACTCCAATACTTTTTATAGAAGTACTTTTGAGTATTTTTAAAGTACATTTTGAGTACTTTCGATGCTTAATGAAAGAGTAAGTGCCAGCATTTCTGATCATAACTTACGGAACAAACACCCGTGCGGGCACTGCCGATCAACCAAGAGTAAAAAGTTGAGATCAAAGAACTGCCCGTCACGTCAAAGATCAGCCACTCTCGTGAATGTGATCACAAGCGTTGTAAAACTCCATGAAACGGTACAATGATCCCAGACGGGATCACACTGAGGTGTGCTGACCGATGCGTTTCTTTTCCCCAAACATCGCACTCGCATCTGAGCTTGCCACCTGAACTCACATCACTCACTGGGTTGGTAGGGCCTACCAGTTCGCTCCAGACAGGATCACATCGAACTGCGAACTCTGCCCTGACCATTGAAGTTGAAGGCAGTTTTTCTCTATTCCCGAATTTTGCGAGACTGCCTTAATTTTAATTGGTGTGGTCACAGCGTAATGGTACGTAACGACAAAGGCGGGGGGACTCAATCAGAGATGGAAGGCTACAATTTTTGGACAGGTAAAGGGGAGGGGCAACTGGATAAACATAAAGATATCGAGACGATATGCTAATGAGTGTACGGTATAATATTAAGGCATGCCTCATGTTACCATGCTACTGTGATTGGTCATCTTTGCTCGCCATATGTCATAAACCCACCCAGGGGTCACGTCAGTTCATGGGTCACTGTAGATTCTTCCTTGGCTTCGTCGGCTAAGATCCCGTATTTCCCTTACTCCCAAGCACTGGAATCTTAGGCGGAGACTACTGCAGTAGAAAATTTTTGGTTACACTACACTTACTAGACTGTAGGAAATTACATGTAGGCCTATTTTGGTTTGCCGTGGGCGCCGTGGACTACACAGTGTGGCCAAAATCTGTCTTACCTCTATTTTAATCAATTGAAACTGAAGCTAAGTTCTCAATGTATATCAATCTAACAATTTTTTAGGCTACCTAAATTTCTTTTTAACTATTTTTTGTGGTTTGTGCTTAAGGCTACCTTGATTCCTTGAGGATTTGTTCATGAAGAATTCAATGCACGTTTCCCTTTTTTTGCTGGCCATTTTCATCAATTTTATTTTTTCTTAAGAGCTACTTTGTCTCTACATTTTCCAACTTGGATACTTTTCCTACTTTCCGACCTCTAGGACTGACTTACATTTGATCTTATTGTCTTGCTCAAACATGTTCTATTCATGATATCACTTATTCACTAGTTGCAGCTGTTTGTTTGCGTGGTTTTTTTTCAATTTCACGAACCATTTCCATCTACGTTCAGTGCGTATATTCAAATTCAAATGCTTTGTATACTGTTTACATTATTAGTAATAAATGGCCTAATTTGTATACGAGATATGTTTTCAATAATATGATGTTTTGCATTAGCACTGAATTGTTTTGTCATATTAGCAGAAAGTACTCAAAATGTACTCATAAGTACTTTTTTAAAAAGTACTTGTACTCAAGTACATTTTACAGGAACGTACTTTTACTGTACTTAAGTACATATTTTAGATTGTACTTAAATTTGTACTTAAGTACCTTTTTAAAAGTACTTTAACAGCTCTGTCCATGGGGAAGGTCAATTACCTCTGTCTTTCTGCTGCGATGTAATATCACACTCAGCCCGAATTATATGTTTGACGGGCAAAGGCAAAGCAACCATCTTGTAAATTACAGTCGAAATTGACCAAGATTGCCATCCATTGTTGAAAAGAAAAGTGGTTGTCTTAGACATCATGTTGAGATCTTGGACAGTGTCGTTATAGTATAGAAAAAAGCCCAAAAAAGCATAAGGTGGGTGGGTAGGATGAATTTGTCTGTACAGATGATTGTCTTGGACATGTGGCCAATAGGGTAGGCTCGACTATATCTGTATTGTGTTGAGGGGCATAAAACGTTTACTATTGATCAATAAAAGTGTACACTCCTATGCTTCTGTACAGGCTGATCACAGCTGTTACCGGCCATTACCTCTGTGAACACACCACTCAAGTAATAAAGGTTCTAGCATGAACCTGCAGTTTCACGTTTTGGTTACTTGTAAAAACTGCCCTTTCAGGCATTTGATATGGGTTGCTTGTAAAGAAAAATTTGTTTGCTTCATGTGCAATATGATATCTTTGAAGCAAAGTCTCACAGATTGTAGTTTAATGCTAATGATATAGTAGGATACATGTAAGAAATTTTAATGGTTTCGAAATGTTATTGAGGTGATGATATCGGACTCAAACACTTCAGTTTATTGCGAAGTTGTCCTTCACCTTTCCACTTTGTTAGGCATTTGCTTACTCAGCTAATCTAGGTTAAAGCAAGGTACATGGACATCACAATAGTCGTTAAATGCTATGGTAAATAGGAAGGCAGTAACAGGTAGAAAAGAAGAAAAATGGATCAGGCACTGCTGTCCACGCTGCTATAGTTAAATCTGTAACGACAGAGAGCAGACATATCATCGGTGTTGCAAGCAATCCACTTAAGTCCATTTGGGTACTTTTTACACAGAGACAAAAACAAGTTGGTTTTTTTTGTTGTTGTGTTGTTCCTATCAGGAACCATGAAAAGCAAGAATGTTGTAAGCCTTGATCATAGCATTTAACTGTATTTTGGTGATGTTGGCAGGTGTGTCTTTGGTAGTGCTTTTGGAAAGTGTAAAAATCGAAGTTTTGACCTAAATGGATTGCTTGCGATGGGGGTGATATTTTCTAACTAGTCTTTTTTTTTCAGCACCTTCTGTTAGTAATTCATGGTCACTCTGTCATGTGCCTTCTGACCCATTGTTTTGTCAGGCAGTTCTTTTGGCCTGTTTTGCTTGTAATTAGGAGCTGCTGGTATACTTTTAACCCTGTCTGGCTTTTGTTCAGCTCTATTCTAAATTGCTGACCTACACACATAAATAAACAGATTTTCTGTATTTACAGCCTGCCATTAGTAAAGTTGGTGTCATCCTGGGCTATGATGCGGATTTCCCTGGTTCAAATCCTAAGTAGGGCATTTTTTAACTTAGGTAATGTGGGGAGTTTTACATTAGTTTCAATCTTCTTTGCTCTATCCTATCAGTGATGGAAGTGAAATTCAGAGGTCCAATCTTTTGAACAACCTCAGTGTTGAAAGGGCGTATCAAACCCATTCATTTATCAATTACTAACACGACTGATCAGATTTCACAAAAATTATCCTCTTTCTATCCAGTGCCCTGCGCAAGTGGGGAGGATTTGACACGCTAAACAAAGAGAAGGCTCGTCTGCGTGGCATGGAACATTCTGGCAAATGTAAGTGTTGGACTTGATGCAACTTCATGTCAAATTACTAGAGGCTGCAAGTATGTTTTGTTAATTCACATTTGAATTATGTTACAGCTTTCATTCTATCAAAAGCTTTGTACTTTGTATGATTTTTGTCTCCAACTCCATAAGTAAGGAGGAAGATAGCACATAAATTTGGTTGTAAAAATGTTAACGAAATGTTTGTAAGAATAAGGAATCAGCTGCTGACTGATAAGTCATAATGCTCTTCCCATGTTTCTGTTGAGTGATAAGTCATAATGCTCTTTTCATATTTTTGCTGAGTGATAAAATGATCTTCCCATGTTTCTGTTGAGTATTGTCATGATGCTGTTCCCATATTTCTGCTGAGTGATAAGTCATGATGCTCTCCCCATGTTTCTGTTGAGTGATAATGGAGCTTCTTTACTTCTAGTGTTCTGTCTGGTTGTGTCAGTGTTGGTCATAAACAACCATAGATATATTTGGAAGAAAATCTGACCATATTTCCCATCCAGATGATGCCTCTGACTGGCGTTCCATCTTTTCCGACATGAGTGCCTCAGGGTACTCGAATCCAGACAGTCCAGATTCCTTCGCCATGCAGGGCCACAAGCCGGACACAAACCCACATGTACGTCAGCTCTTGACTTATTTGATGTAATCATCATCATCATCATTGTAGGTAGCAGGGAATAAAAAAAGGGTTTGAGACTTAGTAGACTTTTCAAATTTAATGTAAGTTCAACGTTTCGCCTTGTAAAGGGCTTCTTCAGGAACATGTACAAAAAAATATCATCATCCTCATCCTCCTCCTCCTCATCATCATCATTAGGCCTATCATTGTAAACAGAGAATAAAAAAGGTTGAGACTTGATAGGATTTCCTAAATATATTGTATAATACATCCAATTTTTCACTGTATGGCTTCATCTGAAACATTTTTAAAAATATATATATTAAAAAAATGTAATATACATTTTTTAAAATAATTATCTTCATAAATAATCATCATCTTCAGTGCTCAATATTGTTAATCTGTGTCGAGAGCGAGCTCATGTTTAAGCTTTAACTTTCTTTGCTGTGTAAAGAAAAAGGAGCCTTTTCTGATTTCTATGAATTTCTGGTGATATATCATACTTCTTTTCACCCTCATCAATGTGATCTGTAAATACAGAAATGAACAGTTTTGTTGAAATGAATGAATTCGTTGGTTTCATTGATAAGAAGTGAAATGGCACTTTATATGTGCAAACTGTTAGGACTGTTAATAGTATTGTCATGCAAGTGTGAGATTTATGCTTTTTCTAATGACATTTCAATTTTCTTTTCTTTTTTTTCTGTTTAGGAACCTACCTTCTTGAAGTCTGGGTCAACAAAAGTTGTCCTGTCTGCAATTCTTGTGTAAGTGCTGTGCTCTCATACTATGGAAACAAAGACCATATCTCTAAGAGAAGTGCTTGAAGATTTCTTTCTCAGCTGAAGCTTTTGTCAAATAAGATTTTATAATCTGGTCTGAATTCCAAGCCAAGAAGGCAAAAGAGGCAGAGGCAAACAAAGAATAAGTTGTTTCTAGAACTTGATTATATAGGTAATTGGAGAACACTAGGATAATATGGGGTTGAGTTGGGGTTTTTTTCTTCTTTTTTTTAAAGAGCATCCAAGCAGAAAAATGAGTGATTAACTATCTTCTCTAATGAACTTTTCAATCTGGCCATTGAAGAAAAAAAGCTAAGTGAAGAAAAAAAGCTAAGTGTAAATTCTGTTAACTGTTTTTAACGTCATTTATCATTATAAGTTGTTACTTTGTGAAATCATATTTTATATTCTAATGATAAGAGTGAGCTGAACATGGAATTGTCTGTACAGACTGAAAAGGTATTGACGTCAAGATGGGGGGGTGACCATTTGTAGCCCTCAAGTCTTGATAAATCAAACAATTTGATGATCATTGATATTCTATTTCCTTTGTTTCTCAGCAACGGAGCCAACAGTCTGTTCAAGCTCATCGCCTGGCTGTACACAGGTTCTCACAGTATGTTCTCTGAGTTCATCCACTCCTGTGCTGACACCATGAACCAGGCAAGTCTTGACAACCTCACAACTTCTAGAACTCTTCCTTGCCCCTTCGATCACTACAACCCCCCCCCCCCCCCCTCCTTCTGAATGGACATGTCATTAGCTCAGTTGCTATCCTGCCATGCTGGACTATGGTGTAGATGATGCTGATTCAAATTATGAATGTGTTTTTATTGAACTTAGGTCTGTTTGGTGAGTTTTCAAGGCTCTCCTCATACTTTGCTCAGTCCTATTGCAGATAGAATTTAAGTTCACAGGTTCCATCTTTTAAATAAACTTACAGGGTGGAAAGGGGCGTTAAACCCATTTCGCCGTTTAGACCAGGACAGGGAACGTGAAAGTGTTTGTTCGTGACCTGTACTTTGATGCTGGGTGAGAAAAGTAATGATGATGATACCATACTGTACCATGTGTCATTTCTAACTCTCTCCCCCCCCCCCTAGTAATTAGTAATTAATATAGCTTGTGAAAAGTCGATAAGTAATAAAACAAAACTGCCTGTCTTGAAAATTAAAACCAGTAGTTTCCAGTCTGGCGGAAAGCAATAGATCTAATATCTTGAGTGACATATGTTTTAGTGCTTGTCTTTGTCTCACTTTAGAGAGCTTGGGTATTTCAACGAATTTCTGCCAATTTTCTCCTGCTTTGGCCCCTGAGATATACGGAATCACCTTTTTCGGCCTGTGACCTGGACTAGCTAACCCATGCATAATTTACAGCTTTGCTAACCAACAGATTATCATTGCTGTGGGCCTGGTCTCATTTCATATATATTTGATACTAGCTGGGTACCCCATTTGATGAACGAACTTAATCGTCAAGTCATTGTGGGTTAAGTGCACACAGCATGTGAACGGAAGTCGTGAAATATGTCTTGAACTGCATTGAAATACTAGAACTCTGTGTGGACAAAACAAAGCATTTTGGAAAAATCGGGGAAAGCAGTTGACGTTGATTTTTTTTTAAAAGTTAGGTCCAAGCCGCATGGATGCTATGGACGCCTGCAAAGTTTCAAAGGTGTGGGTTAGGTAATAAGGGAGGAGTTTGTGCACAAAGCCTCCCAAGTCCACTTTTATATATATATATATAGATACTACTTTTTTCCCCTGACAGATTATCCTGGCTGTGGGCCTGTACCACTCATTCAAGAAGCCGGACACTGACCACCCGTATGGTTATCGGAACCTGCGCCACATATCCTCTCTCATCAGCGGTGTTGGGATCTTCTTCCTGGGCACGGGACTCTCCTGGTACCACAGCATCCAAGGCTTCATGCACCCCACAGACCTGGGCTCTCTGCATTGGGTGGGTTCCTGAAATAGTAGATTGGAACCAGCTTCGACAGGACACAACATGTTTTGAAGGAAGAAAAATGACAGGGTTCTAAAAAAAATGGAAGGAGAAAATTAGATATTCATTTATAAAATGTGAGGTAGCAAATTTTTCAAAGCACCCAAAATGTGACTGCCAGATTATACTCTGTAGTTTTCAAATGTATTTAAGAGTTCTGCCAATAAATGACCTTAGATTGAAATATGCTTCATGTTATGTTGACCTATTGTATCACACTGTTTTCTTCTGTATACTCATATTGAAATAGGAGTAGATTGTGTACTGTTGACTCGAGATAGGCATAACAATCTGATTGATCTCCAAGCCTGTTCTGCTTAGCAGAGAAGCCATCGGGTATTTGACGCTTTGTTGTAAAACACTGTGTTTTGTTTGTTTTCAATGGTACCTGCATCTCTGAGCCCCCCCCCCCCCCCCCCCCCCCCCAACTTTAAATGTGAAAATCTCCCAGTGAAAATGTACCTCTTCTACTTCTACTGTTTGGTGCCTTATGCTGTCTGCTGAGGACCCCACAACACTGCGTCCAGGCGTTTTCCCTTGACTGCAACATAGGCAAAGGTCTTGTAAGAAGAAAAAAAAAACGACGCTCAGACTGTTACAATGAATTTTCTTACCTTCATTTCACACTAATGGCTTGTTTGTTTGAGTAAAGAGAAGCTCATTGACACGATAAATGTCATTTAGACTGTGGAAAGAGTATGACAGATAGACAGAAACAACAGAGAGAAGGAGAAGAAGTAGAACTCATCAGTAACGCCATCCAACCACCCGATCACTAATGGCTTTGTGATTTTAGTTTGCAGACTTTAAAATTAGAAACGATTTGGCGACGTCATTGTTTAGATGAAAGCATGAATCTGATATGTTGGGTTGGGTAAAATAACTGGAGAATTGGTGGGTTTGCTTTTTAAAAATCCAAGTTTGACTCTAGATTAATGGAAAGAGGATTTTCTAGACGCTTGATTTCTGCCAAATATTTTCAGTTAAAATGTGTCGAAGGAGAAAATGCTGATTTGCTGCTTTTATATTGCCAATTGGATTTTATTTCACATGTTGTTGTTTTTTTATATAGTTGCATAAATACTTGAAGTATCTGTACACTTCCTTTCATGTTTCCTCTTTTTTTCCCAGTGTATCGCGACACTTGTTGGCTCTTTCATCTCTGAAGGAGGTAAGTAGTATCAAAGAGCGCGGGGGGGGCTGTTGTGTTGTTTTGTACTGAGTTTTGGTTTAATTTTTAGAGGGAGCAGGAGAGATCGTGTGTGTTGTTCTTGTTTTATTTTTTTATTTTTTTCCAATTTGTCTTTTTAATAATGAAATCTGTCTGCGTGAAGATGTGGGGTCAAGCTGTGATGTTTAGAGAAGGATGTATAGATGGGTTTAATTTGCTCTTGTAAGGTCCTACGTATGACCTTCAAATTAATTTTTCTTTTTTCTTTGAAGGTGGCACCTCTGTTACGTTTGTTGTTTTTTTTTAATCACTTTTTTTGGAGGGCACCAGTGTTTCTTTTCTTTCCCTCTGTTGTTTCTGTCTGTCTACTATTCTTTTTCTGTACACTATGTAACTGCTGTCTTGTCAGTGTGAAAGATTTTACTAAATGTAAATTGGAAATGTTTTGAAAGTCATATTCTAAAGTAGAAAATGTTAAGAAATATTAAAACCACGATAGACAAAACACCGCTCATCTTTGTGAAAATCTGTGTAAGGTTAATGTTTGAGTCTTTTATTTCCTTCCAGCTACTCTGGTCATTGCTGTGAACCAAGTGAGGAAAAGCAGCAAGGAGTCCAACATGAGCTTTGTGGAGTACGGTGAGGCTTCCGTAATGCTCAAAATTTATCGTTTCGGGATTGCCTTTTTTTTTTAAACGTTCTCTGTGAGCTCTAGTATCAGTTGCATGTGCACAAGAAACACTTTGTTGAAATTCAAATTTTATATGTGAAAAAAAGCAGGGAAAATGTTTAATCTTGGTACAGCTGTTAAAAGAATGAAAGTTTTTCTTTCTACTGAAAAATTTGGCTTTCTGTGCATGGCGTATTTGAACAGTTTGCATTTTTCACGCATCTATTGTTTCTCTTATTTGTTTATTTTTTTTCCCCTCCAGTCTTACGTGGGATAGATCCCAATGTCAACGTGGTCCTGCTGGAAGACCTGGCTGCTGTGGTGGGCGTGGGCATCGCCGGAGCGTGTATCACCATCTCCCATGTCACTGGCTCTCCATTCGCTGACGCCGTCGGCTCTGCCGTGATAGGGACCCTGCTAGGTTCCGTGGCAGGCTTCATTGTCTACAACAGCACCAACCAGCTCGTGGGCAGGTGAGCTTGGGTGGCCGTGGGGCTTTTTCTGAACTCTTCTCCTTGATGTGTGGAGGAGATTTAACTTCGTTTGTATATGTGACGGTGAAAGTTAATGTTTGTTCTGTACATGACTTTGAAATTTTGCATTGTTCTCATATTTGATTACAAAATTTGTAGTTTTTCTCTTCTTTGACTGATATTTATCTGTGATTTCATTTATGACTGAAATTTAATCATTGTTCTCTTATTTGACTTACACTTTTAAAAAATATATTGACACTGTTCATGACCTCCATCTGTCTTCTAAGACAACTACTTTTCTTCCTGGACAATTGTGGCCGACTTGAACAGTTTCGACCGTATTTCCAAGCGGGACAAAAAATACCACCTGTCACTTCCTGGGTCATTCCCACAGCCCGCCAAAATTACCGAATTGCCGGCTACTAAAAGGTGATACCACCCAGATTGGCTAGGACTGATTTAACCTGTGACGGGTACAAGCGTAGCAAGGAAGAACAAAGTATTGCTTTACTCTTTCTTTGTAACAATGTGACCTATAATAATAAAAATAATCATCATCATCATCACCATCACCATCACCACTGCCTCTCTTACCCTAAATCAAGGTATAGGCCTCTAACAAACGCTTTCCACCTTTTTCTATTCCGCGCTAGCCTCTTGATGCTATTCTATGTCTTCCCCCTTTTACGATAATAATGATTGCACTTATATAGCGCATGTCACTCTCTACAGCAAACTCCATGCACTTTAAAACAATTATTGTAATTTGTAGGTCTATCCCCATGGATGAGCGTCAGGACATCAGTATGCTGCTAGAGCGGGACCGCATGATCAGGTAAACTTTTTTTTCCCCAGAAACTGTTTGCTCTACTCTTGTCCAAATCTTTTTTGGAGCTGTACAGAGTTTAAAGGCTTTCCATCTTGTCAACTGGTATATTGACATCAGCTTTTCTTTTTTGCCCCTTGGATTGTAAACGATATTCTTGAAATCTTTCAGATACAGACTCGCAGAAAATAATTAGACATCTCTTTGATTGATAATTTGAATATTTTCATATAATCCCAAACTGTTCAAATGTACTTAGTCAAAAATTTTGTTTAAAAAATTTTCTGCATTTTCTTAATCTTTGGCATCAGTTGCATGTGTTCTTGAAATATTTTGTCAAAATTCAATTTCTAAATTAGTGTTGCATAAGCAAGAAAAGATACATGTAGTTTTTTTTTAAAGCTTGCCTTCTTGGCTTAGAACTGCTGAAAAACCAACAGACAATATCATTAGTAAGATATGTAATTGACTGCACCTCAATGTCTGGTCACAACAAGAGAATGGATCAGGTTTTGTTTTACGAGTGTCATGAATACAGTCTCTTTCCTCTGCACCAGATCCCTCCATGATATCAAGGCCACTCAAATGGGTGGGATCGTTCGGTACAAGGCAGAGGTGGATTTTGATGGGAGGGAGATCACCAGGGCATACCTGTACAAGCAAGACCTTGAGCTGTTGCTAGAGGTATACTTTGTGGTTGATACTACCGCTTGATGATTGTCATCATCATCATCATCATCATCATCATCATCATCATCATCATCATCATCACTGTTATAAAACAGTTTAAAGTCAAGACTTAGATATTTTGTCTAAGAAAGTGTTTAGTACTGTCAAACGTGCCTTAGCAGTCACTTCTCCTTAGCGTCATGTGTACTGATGGCTACCGCTTCATGACACCCTTTATTTTTCCTATATTTATTTTATTACCTGTCTATTGCCGCCCGAGTCCAACGTGGCCTTGGTCTTCCACAGTTTCGACAGTACTTGCATAGTCCTTGTTATGAAGTGAGCTCATCAACAGTCTTGTTTCCGCAAAAGCAGATTCGAGTGACACTGACAAGCAGTAGAAGGCGCAGACTTTATCGGAATACCCACTTACCATTTGCTAGTCTTCTTACTTCTTGCTCTTGTACTGTTTTAGGTGACTGTAGTAACAGAAAGGGTTGATATTTAACTGAAAATGCTTGTTTTGTTTATTTTTTATTATGCATTGAGAACTTGCATCTGCTGTTAGGGGTTGAATGTTTGTTCACACTTGTATGTTCTCCAGAGGTTGTTGGTTTTTTTGTCTTGAGAATGTAGAGCTAGTACTAAGTTTTTATCTTTGTTGTAGATGTGTGAATGGGGGTGGTTGAAGGGTGCCGCTGTTAGATCCTACTTACTTATTGTTCCATCCATTGATTGTTTCTGTCTGTCTGTCTCCCTCTTTCATGAGGGGAGGGGGGGGGGGAGGCGATTGCTGTGCTGTGGTTTGCCCCTTCTTTCCTATCAAACGTCTGCCATCATTATCTCTCCTTCTTTTCTTTGTATGTTACTCTCCAGTAACATCTCTAATTTTCAGCATATGTTTGATTTTTTTTTTGTGTTGCAAGTGCTGTAATATTCCTACTAAAACAAAACTAAATTCTTCCCCCACTTTTACTTTTAGTGATTGTTAGTATGTTGATGTGCTTCTTTTTACTTAAAACAAATATTTGAATTCGAGTGCGATCGATGCACTTTAACCTTCGCATGATTTCAATAGACAGACCATTTTAACTTTTGTTTACCCTGACTAACAAATCCTGCCTGAATTTTTTTTTTATGATGTTAATTCATTCTTCTTTTTGTGATGGCAGTATGCTTTCATTACTTCTTTTATTCCATCATCTAACATTGTAGGAAGCCCAAGGTTTGAAGACTGTTGAGGATTTTGAGATCTTCATGATGAACCATGGGGAGAAGATTATTGATGCCTTGGGGGAGGAAGTTGACAGGATAGAAAAAGCACTGAAGGTAAGATGAGCCCTTTTGTCATATTTACTTGCTTTTCTTGCTATACCAGTGGAGCCTACACTAAACGCCACCAGCAAAGCCGAGCCTACAAGTGATTTTCCTTGTTTTCCATTCGAATCTTTTTTCTCCATTTGTTAAACCTACACCCAAGCACCCATTTTGATCAAAAATGTTTTGAAGTCGTTTAAAAATGGTTTGAAAAACTATTGTGCAGTTATGGGTCAAATTTTTTTTTTTCTTCTATTTTCTCGAATTGGTATTTTTTAAAAATCTAAGTTCGATCTCCTCCCTAATTTTACCTTGAAATGGCTTCATTTTTTCTCACAATGTACATCTATTTGCTCTAATATAGCCTTTTTTTACGATAAAAATGTTAATCAGTGTTTTCAACCAGTTTTCCTGAAAAGTTTTTTTTTTTGGTGCTATTTGTCCATAGAACATATTTTCATACTTCACAATTATTTTTATGTAATATTAAAATGTCTTGAAATATTTCATCATTACATAAGTGCTAAATATGAAAGCCAGTGGATGAAAACTACGCGAGAAGAGAACATCAAAATTTGTGTCACGACGTAGTGGAATCAGGCGCTCGTCAATTTTTGGGCATAAGGGATGGTGGGAAAATATCCATTTATGTTGAATAGAAGTCATAATAGTTGCGGTTGAAGGAGGTTGGGGTCGCCTGGCTTTAGAGGTAAAATTAGCAAGAAAATGGCCACCAAAGTTTGGTAACTTCCATAGCCTGAGAGTCCTTGGTAACTGAAAATTAACATTTTTTGTGCCTTTAATCAATGATTTTCACTAAATTCCAGACGAAAATATGTTTTTAAATGGACATATAAGGTGTTCAGCCAAAAAAATGAAAATTAGAAAAATGCCGATTTCTTTGATTTAATTATTTTGACAAGCACCTTATTTCACCACGATGCCTCACATTTGAAAATTTTTGCAGTCGTCCGATATGAGGGAATGTTTGCGTGACCATTATCGATGGTTTTGTTTTTACTCGAACAGTTTTGTTTTGTTTTCAAAATGAAGACATCTACAGAAAAGTACTTATTTTTGTATTTCAGGCCAAGCACCCAGAGATCAGGCACGTGGACTTAGAAGCCTTGTGAGAGTCACCGGCAGGATGTTAGAGTCACCGGCAGGATGTTAGAGTGGGTGGTTGGTAGGCGCTCTAGTGTAGTTTGCTCCTTTTTTTCCTTCATATCATACATGTATTGTCCTTATCTTTCCTCCATCTTTTCTTTGTTTGCCTTTCTGGTACTTTCTCTATTCTTTGGCTCTTGTATGACCTACTTGTGTTACGAGTGCTGTAAAAATTTTACTTTGACTAAAAAAATGGATTTTGGTGTTGTAGTGCAAAGCTTGTGATGCATACAATCCTACTGGTGATGTGCATTTTGAAGAAGTGTGAAGTGAGTGGCGGGTGCTTTGATGTGATTTGTTCTTTCTTTCCTTTCAAACATCTATCGTCCTCATCTTTTCTTGTTTTCTTTGTATATTACTCTGTAGTAACAGCTCTATTCTTCTAGACTGGTATGACCTATTTGTGTTGCAATTGCCGTAAAACTCTTGCTAAAATTTAAGCTGAAATGAAGTGTGAAGAATCTATGTTTGTCAACACAAAGCAGAATACTTATGTTTTTCTTCAGTCTTTTAAAGTTGATGGGTATTTTTTTTTCATTTTTGTATGGACTTACTGTCACAATTTTTATACAGAATTTGCTTGCAGTGAGACATAAGATTTTGAATATTCACGCATGATCACAGCTCAGGTGCAGAATTATGAATGAGAAGCTCAGTATTCTTTTACATTTTTCAGGAAAACATTTTGTAAAACTTAATCCCTATGAAGGTATAAAAGTAGTTGAATGATTAAGAATGCTAAATCGGAGCCCCAAATAGAAATCGTAATTATTACTTATCATTGACAGAGTTTATACAAAAGTAACAGCGGTTCAGTTTGTGCCAAGAAAATGAATTTTTGTCTTATTTGTTAATAAAAGTTTCATAGTTATGCATGGTATGGGTTCTTTTAGACAAAAAATCTAATGTAAACCTCTTATTGTTGATTTAGATTGACTGCAAGTATTGTTGTCCTTAAAACAGGCATACCATTATTCCATTTTTATTTCCCATTGTTTCAGTTGATTTTATTGAAACCGGGTTTCAAATCCATTTTTTTGCAATCCTTAATCTGGCACTTCCTTTATTGAAACATGCTTTTGTTTTCCATTTAACCCCGTATTAGTTGTGTCTATAGTCTTCTTAGGTGCAAATGCAGCATCATAAATTTTCTGTTATTTAAAAAAATCCCAGCGACATCCCCGTTAAAATCTATCCATTTTTAATATCAAAGGAACTTTAAAGTTTTACTTGTTAGTATAGTCTGCGAAACCAACAGAAAATATATATAGAACGCGGGAAGAGAAAATGGAAGTAGATTGGATACACCTTGAGAAGATTATTAATAAACCTTACCCACCAAGCCTTACTATTGAATTCACAAGAAAAGAAAGAAAGGAAAGCCTGAAAGTACTAGGAGGAGAGGAGAGACTTATCAGACCTAAAGGAGATGGGATACAGCTTTTTCAGAGGTGGGGACTATAGCCTAGGACAGAAGTACATGGCGAGCTCTTTTTGGTTGAGCACTGACTGAGAATGGGTGGTGGTGATGGTTCGTGAGGAAATGTGGAGAGTGGAAATTTTGTTCTTCAAAAACATTGCTGAGGAGCTTTATAAGAGTTGGCTGTCTATATTGAAACTTGTTTGCATTGTCATCTTAGATTATCTGTTCTTACATGAACACAGCAGTGATGGTTTCTCGCAAACGTAATTGCACGTTTATTTTTTTGTTATGATTTAAGGTTTTACTTGGCATTATGACATACAGTATGCCAGAGTTCTCCTTTTTGTTAGCAAATTGATGGTCTAGCCTCTATTGTACTAATAGCGAGCTCAGTAACAGAAATCGGGGGACTAGGAATTCATAATTCATGGTAGTTTGACCTCAACCCTGTCCCTTGCGGTTTCACTTTAGAAACTTGTGTAAGTGTTGTCTATTTTCTCCTCACATCATGATAAGTAGAACAATATTGTGTATTTTGAAAAAGGACATGTGAACAGTGTGAGGGACCATAGTTAACTCTCCCATGTAATATGATTGAGGAAATAGGAAAGTGCCACATGGTCTATGTATTTTCACTGTGTATGTAAATGCCAAGTGCCCTGTGCACATCCGTTGATCTCTGTTTATTTATCCCATAAGTTGTGTTCTGTTTCCAATGATTTGAGCGAGTGTAATGCCTCAATTTGAATGTTTCTGTTTTTCTGCAACATTAAATGGATGATTTGCTAAAAAGTGGTTGCTTTTGAGAAGAAGTAATATTAGGTTGTTTAGAAGACATATATGCAGTATGGTATGATAGTTTTTTTGTGACTCTGTTTATAACAATTGTTATGAAATGTGAATAGGTTTTCTTTTTTGTCTTTAAAACTGTGAGTATTGTACATGAAATGTCATAAAATGTGTTCCCTTTTAACTTACAACCGAATTTGGCTTGACTTTGTGTTATTAGAGTTTCATCATGAGAGTTCTGAAAAATGGAAGTTTTGTCATGAGTGTCGGTTGTGGGCATCTGTTCTTCTGATGTCCCCAGTTTCATAGCATGATTCTGAGACCATATATTATGTTTTTTATAAGACTGTTTTGAGAGCATAAAAACTTAATTAAGCTTGGGTGTAATTGGGTTGGGGGATGAATGGTTATTCACCGTAATGAACAGTCCATCATGCATGTGACCATTCTTTTTTTGTTCTTGTTGAAATCGCTTTTTAATTTACTGTTATCTCCTATATAACTTGTTTACCAGTATGTACTAATATCGACAGCTTAGTGCAAGACTCCGCCGTAATCTATTTTGAAAAGTGACATATCGTCACGGTTCTGAACAAATGGTGAAAGTCTTCTTTTTTTTTTATCCCTTCTAAGAAAACTTCTTAAAACCATTCACATTTCTTCAATGATTATGACTTAAGCGATTTTGCCATATCTTAACTTTTAAAAAAAAATGTATTAGCACTTTTTCAAAAAATTTACATAGAAACATGCAGGGGTCATTACTGAATTCAATTCTGTATCAATTCAGAAATGGCCTAACTTGGACTTAGGCCATTTGTTCAGCACCATGACGGATGGAGTTTTACACTGAACAGTCGATATATTTCTAGAGATAACTTAACAAAGCACTTGGAGCGAAACTGTTGAAATCTTTTTGTTCTCTCATCCCTCATTTGTTTTTGTATTGAAGATGATAATTTGAGAGGGGAACCATCCTGTACTATGATGACTGTTCTTTGTTGTTTTTTGCCATAATCTGCCAGTTGAATGAGAGAGGTTATGACGTGGCAAGAGTGTCGCGCCGTTGTTGATAAAACATGAGATTTGTAAGACAACGTTATGTTGTTGCATTCATTAATGTTGAGGATGAGGAAATCTCATATCCGCCATGTCTTGAACAAGTCAGTTTTTGTAACTGTTGTATAGTTTGTAGACATAGTAAACACGCATACTGTGCACGTTGCGTGTCATTTGTGTTTGTGCCAAGGCTGTAGATGTCATTTAATTGGCAAACTGTTCGGCTGTTCGAAGCCCAGAAAAAAATATTTTTAAGGAGAGAAAAAAAACTGTTTCTTTCTTTTAGAAATTATACCTACATTTTGTATCTTTCCCTGTGCTTTTCAGCATTTAACATTCAAATTTCAACAAAATATATCTCCAGCACATTCAACTGATACACTGCTTAAAGAAAGTGCTTTAAAATAGAAAATTCAACAGTTTGGGCTAAGCACATCTGAACAGCTTGCCGACGGTATTTTTTGTAAGAAGAGATTATACCCGAAGCTGTTCAGTAGTTCAGCCAGAAGTTTCAGGTCTTTCTTACTGTATTGTTGGGAGTTGTCTTTAATTTTCTCTGTCATTGTCTTTCTTCCTATATGAGCATCGAGTAATAATGATTAGGCCCTTTGCTGTCGCACATAAAAAGACATGAGTTGGTTGCTAGTGTGGGGAAGTGATTTTATGGAGTATCTCCATCTGCCTGCTGAGATATTAATGTATCCCTGTCAGCCAAGGTTGGCACTGATGGGCAAGGTCATAGCAGCCTGCTTGTTTAGTGATAGAATTTACGTTAATGGGCACTTAAAACAGTTTGCAATCAGTAACAATCGCGCTTCCTTCCTCACTCCACGTTTGATGGTTGATTTCTAGTCTTCGATTGGTGTGTTCTATATCAGGGAAAAAAGTCTCATCGTATTCTACACTGCTTGTCTCTCATTCTCTGTAGACCATGTGTAAAATGCTATTCTCTTTCCACTTTGACATTTTATGAAATGTGCTTTTTGCATTTGAGATTTTGCCAAATGTCACAGTCGTAACACTATTCCCCCAAGTCATTTTTTCAGGTTTCAAGTTATCGGTATGGCAAAAATGCCTCTGTTATTTGTTTCATAACCTCAGTATAGTAGAGTTTTGTTTCATGAACTAAAAATCCAACTGTTGAGACTTTCTCACCTGTGTTTATGCCATGAGAGTGACTTCAGTATGCATAGTTTCTATTTTTACGTTTCTCGAAACAACATAAAATGATTTAACCTTCCTAATATCAAATGCTGATTAAAGTGGGCGTAAGTTTTTCTTCTGTGGTGTTCCATAACTTGGTTGTTATCTCAGTTCATGTATCCCATTTTTTGTATTGCCAAACATTTCAACTCCTCAGTTAATGAGCTCTACTTCCTATTTACAGTCTACTTTCTGAAAAAAAAATGTATAGCTTTCTGGCCTTGGTGTGCTTGTTCTCAAGCGTTTTCCAACATAATATGTTGGAATCATTTAATTTCCCCGAACACCACAGGTAATTAAGTTAGTTACACTTGGAGAGTTATACAATTGTGTTATGACTGTGACAGCAACTGAGGGTCTTGACAGGAGGAGACCTGTATGTGATTTTTTTTTTTATGAATGACAAAATTCCAGCTGATACCAGTGCATGCTTTGTTATTAGTTTGTTTACTTTTATTATCCTGTTCCTCTCACTATGCATAAACTTGATGTACCATTGATTTCCAGACTTGACATTTCACATATATACCAGGACCCCAGTGTTTGCATCCAAACCTTTTGAATAAGTTTGAATGTATTGAAAGCTGTTTTGACCATACACCATACCAAAGTGGAGAATTTTTTTTCATCTTTTTAAGAAAATTGATGCTGTTTTTTTGTCATTTTGCATTTCAGACCTTTGTCTTTTTTTTCTTTTTTAAAAATTTGTTGAAGAAGTGTGCTGGTTTATAAGCGCTGTTTATTCCTCATCAGCCCAATTGAGTGAGATTTTCTTTTTCACTAAAGTGTAGTGCGCTCTATGTTCTCGTTCATGTGTCCATGTATCATAGATTTAGATTGTGCAAAGTAGTTGGTGTAGGCGTTTCAGAAGTGCTTCTGGTGCACCAGAAGCTACAGATAATAAATAAAAAGATTGCTATTTGTGACTTATTAATTAGCACTGAAATGTCTTCGCAATGACCGTCAGATTAAATATAAGGGGTGTTTTTTGCAAGTGGGGTTTGTCCATAATTTTGAGCCTTTACATACCTGTCTCCTTTTGCATTTGTTTTGTGGTGTATACTTTGTTTAAGGCTGCTATGAGTGTGAAAAGAGAAACCACAAAGATGCTTGTCATTGGTCAACTATGATTGTGCTAGTCAGTTTTCTTGGCAGCAAAGACGGGTGTGAGGACCACTACTACAAAGATGAGTTCTTTGGGCTTTTCACTCTTCACTTTACTCAAATGTTTTTTGCATCACTTTCTACCGTTATAAGGAATGTACTACCTTGTATGCTTTACATAAGTTATAAGCAGTCTTTGGACGGTTGTGTAAATAAATGCTGGTTTAAAAATTACCACCTTGAGTGATGATTTTGAGGTTTGTTTGTTTTATCTTTAGCCCTATCAAGAAAATTATCTGTCTTCCTGTCCTTCTTTTCCTCACTGTAGTAGGGGCAAACAGTTGCTAATGTTTCCCATGGAAGCAACAATAATACACTTTGTGACATTATATCTATATTGTCAGTGTCTGACTGTTAGTTGTACATCCACCTAAATAAGTCGAACACTCCTTTTGTGTGATATTATGTTATTCACAACCCTATAATTTCAGTTAGTGATCCACGTGTTTTAATAAGTAAATGAATACTCTACACAAAATGTTTAGCTATTCTGGAAGATAAAATTAAAAAGATAAGTTACATTTTTTTTTACTTATGTAGTTTCAAGCACCGTAAAGCTCTTACTGAACTAACACTTTTTAAAAGTGTTTGAGCTAATTTGGTGGATACACAATTAAAATCTGACGCGGGCGATATGTAACTAGGAAAACCTATGTGTGCAAGTGATGCAATTTGTTAATAAAGCTCTCTTGGCCTGTACCCGAGCTCAGTGGTGGGGTGCACTCAAAGGTGCAGATAACATCGACAGTTCGACTTGCCTCAACAGCTTTATCCCTCTGAGTCTCTCTCAACCCCTCTCTCCCTCTCTCAGTCCCACTCCTACACCCACTCTTTCTCTCTCTCTCTCTCTCTCTCTCTCTCTCTCTCTCTCTCTCTTTCATTCACACATACACACACAGGGAGGACTCATAAGTTTGCTTGCACAGACTTTATTGTTTCAACAGTGAGTATTGGCAAAGCGATTGCTTGTCACTCTTTGTTAAGAAAAGGTTTACAAGAGCAGTTATAAAAGATTGTGAGACGAAGAGACTGTGTGGGACATAACAAACAACATGATATGTCTAGATTTGCTGCTCAGCAGAAAGGCATCCAAAGTCGGATCGGGGTGTAAGCAGAGAAATAATAATTCTGCAGATTACAAACGGAAATTTTATTTTGCGCAAAAGTACCTGTAGACTACCTTTTGATGTACAACTATTCATTTGGAAATGAAGGGTGTTCCACATGTTAACGGAAAGTTATCCTGCAGTTAACAAAACGAATTGGTGTGGAATTGTACCATATTATGTACCTTTTGTTATTCAACTTTTCAACTGACTTGATGAAAATTATTCATTATGAGGATGAAGGTGAATATAATTGTCTCATTGATAATAAACATTCGCAACTGATATACAGCTCAGGGGAGAAATTGAAACGCGTTGAGAACGAATACTTTTTCAAAGAATGAGCAACAGAGAATTGGTCAGGCACGTGCTTCTCAACATATCACCCGTGATTCGATGCTATATTATGTGAGCAGGTACAATAGTGTGCCTTTTGTCATGGAGATCAGGATATCTTGGAGACTGGTTCAGCAGTGGTATCTCTTGCAGCCACAATGGTAGGGCAGGTACAGAGGCATGCGTTCGATTTTCCCCTGGGGCTCCTCGTGGTAGCTTCTCTTCCATCTGAAAATAAAGTACGCCATGTGTCATAATCAAGAACTGGGTGACTTTGCAGCATTATAATAGAAAATGCGAATGTACTCTTGGATGAAGGAAGAGCTGTCAAGTGGCTTCCACAAAATTCTATACTAAGTGTAGAATTCTGTGGTGGCTTCTCAGCACAAAGCTTCTCAGTGAACTCTTTTCAGAGGAGATAACTTTGGCCAGCTGAATACTGCAAATAATGCATGAAGGTGTCGTCTTTGACTCAGGGGTTGACCTAAAATAACCCTCCATATGTCATTACGATAGGAAAAATGGTGTTTTTGCTCCCCCATCCCACACAATACTTTAAATCATAATTAAGAGGCAGGCTTTGACCGTTCCCGCTATCATGATATGTCTCGATAGCTGAATGGGCTTACTCTGCTTGTTTGTTCACAAATCTATCAAAATCATGACTTGTTCATTCAAGCTATCTCTCTCTCTCTCTCTCTCTCTCTCTCTCTCTCTCCCTCTCTCTCTTTCTCTCTCTCTCTCTCTCTCTCTCTCTCTCTCTCTCTCTCTCTCTCTCTCTCTCTCTCTCTCTCTCTCTCTCTCTCTCTCTCTCTCTCTCTCACCCACACACACATGCACACACATACATACACAAAAAAACAGACCCCCCAAGACAGCCCCCCCCCTTTCCGGCTTAAATCTTTTGCCCCACTACCGATCCCTTTTAAACAAAATCCAACAACGAGTTTTCGGTAAAGAGGGGTACTTCAACACAGTGTTGGCGGTTATTTGGTACGGGGAAAATATTGGCAGATATATAGACAGAAATAACAGAGGGAAAGAAAAGAAGCAAGACCTGCCAGTGACACCTTCCGACTACCCGTCCCGCAAAAACAACCAGCAAAGGCGTATTTTGTTTAGCGCTAAGGCGCTTCCTCGTCTTACACACTCAGGAGACCCGAGTTCGACTCCCGAGTGGGGAGAATAATTATCAAATACAAAATGTATCTCGGTCTTTCTGCAGGGATGTTGCATCTCTCTCTCTCTCTCTCTCTCTCTCTCTCTCTCTCTCTCTCTCTCTCTCTCTCTCTCTCTATCTCTCTCCGGGCAAAAGCCCGCCTCCTGAATGGTCCAAGTTATGTCGTTTGGGGTGTGGGGGGCGTAAATAGGTCCACATTTAAAAAGATTACAAAAACAAACAAAACAAACCAGCCAATACAAAACAGCAGTTCGTTACCTGCGCTTTTGCTGCAAAACGTATGGCTTGTAAACCTTGTTCCAGGGGTCCTTGTAGGTGGCTGGATACGGGTAGGTGATCCTTCCCTGTGGTGGGTACACAGCCTGGTGGGGGCGGGGCGGGGCGGGTGGAGAAAGGAGAGGGGCGGGGATGGGCGGAGAAAGGGAAGGGGTGGAGAAAGGAGTGGGGTGGGGAACAGGCGGGAAAAGGAGGTTGGGTGGGGAAAAGGGCAAGATAGGGAAGGTGGTGGGGGGAGGGGACAGGCGTGGAAAGAGGCGCGGTGAAGAAGGGGCAGAGAAAGGGGTTGGGACGAGATGGTAGGGCAGAGTGCGAGACTTGGTGTTACTGTTACATCTTGTTGTGCTTTTGCTACATGTGCAGCTAGATGAAAGAAGCTGAATTAATTGGTCGTGGGCTGCAGTATTGTGTCGTGATATGACTTCTTGCGATCAAAGAAGTTTATTTTTTCCCAACTTAATAAATATATTGTAAGACACGCCTTTGGTGTCATCTACGTATACTCGTAGTACACCATCTTTTAATTTATATGTTTTCGAAGTTGGCATATTTAGTTCATTTTGTAGGCTACAACAAACAGCGCCCTTATTACGAAGTGGCATAATACATGAGAGAACATTGAAGCAAACCGATGGAAAGTATTGAACTGATATATTATACTTTGCTCTTATACCAAGGCTCTATACCGTTAATAACAATTAGGACGTTACTCTGATTTTAAAAAATGGTGCAGACTTATGTGCATTAATATTATTATGGCATGTGAAAGGTACCTTTTATGAATTAACGAAAACAATATAAACTCGAGAAAAATATCCAGCTAAAATTCGAAAATTCATTGACAGTAATTTGAGAGATCTTTGGTTTAATGAGTAAAGTGAAGCTGAAATAATAACTGTTCGTCCGTCAATGTATGACGATGAGCAATATATCCGCAGAAGAGAATATTAATTCTCCAGCGCAATAGAAAAATTAGAAAAATTAAGATGACTTGCAGCTTCTTCTGTGACCGATGACACCAATTCTGGCAGAGAAAAATTTGGCCCACTTTGAACTTTAAAAAGACCTCCCCAAGCGGGGAACCTAAAATACTGCTGGATTAAAAGTTGAATAAAGAGAAGCTGAAATAAAACTGAACAAAAAGAAGAGTAAAGTGGAGCTGAAATAAGACAAGCACATTGGCACAACAGCCCTCAAATAGTGTTGACAGACAGACAGACGAAACAACAAGAGAGAGAAAGAGAGAGAGAGAGAGAGAGAGAGAGAGAGAGAGAGAGAGAGAGGGAGAGAGAGAGAGAGAGAGAGAGAGAGAGAGGGAGGGAGAGAGAGAGAGGGAGGGAGGGAGAGAGAGAGAGAGAGAGAGAGAGAGAGAGAGAGAGAGAGAGAGAGAGAGAAAAGAAGTAGGGCCTACAAGTGGCGCCCTCCAATAACCATTCATCAACAACTGTGGTAGGTGTACTTACCTTGACCGGTGGGTTGTAGACAGGGTAGGTTGGAGGCCTGGGGTTTACCACAGTAGGTCGGAGAGGGTACACAGGTGGTTTAGGGTCAACCACTGGCCGGACTGGTACTGGGTAGACGGGCTGTGGCTTGACCACCGGTGTGAGCGTTGGCTTGTACGTGCAGTAGGCCCACACGTCGCGGTACTCGTAGTCCTCCTCGCACTTGCTCACCCCGCCGTGGTAGCTACACTCCTGGCAGTCGCGGTTCTGGGAGGCGCTGGAGGGGGGGAAAAAGGTAAACGGATTGAAACCCCTTCACTGCCTGGCCCGACACTATCTCAGGCTCTCTCAGTCTCTGGTTGGACTAGAAGCGAATTCTTGTGTTGCAGATCTTTCTTTTTTTTTTTTTAATTACAGTCTATGTGGCTTGATGTCCTTTTTTGTAGGGGGAACCCTTCATATCCTGCTCCAACACCCATCTCTCTCCCCGCCCCCTCCCATATCCTACCCTACCCTACCCTCCATCCCTCCCCCATACCCAACCCCTACCAAATCCAACCCTTCAACTCAAACCCCCACCCCGACCTCCCCCTTCCATCCCCCTTTCCTCCTCTTCCTCCCAATTTCCTCTTGATTCCCTCCCCTCCCCCATTCCCTTCTCTTCCCTCGACCTCCCTATACCCTTAAATATAATTGATCATTTCTGCAGATTTAAAAGGGTCTTTTTTTTTCTAATCTCTAAAGGTAGGTAATTAGATTTTCCTCATCTCATCCACCAAGTTCGAGTGGCAAAGAGAAATATATAAAAGATTTTGAGAGTGTGAAGGGAAGTGCAGTGTTTTGCAAGATCAGCTGACTGTCGCTTACATTGTGGGGTCGACAATGTTTATTGATGAGAGTGGACAACGACGTGACCCAATCTCTCATTCTAATTTTTTAAAAGTAGCCTTCAATGATTTTTTTGGGGGGTGTCTAATATACTGATCGTAATTATTATGAAATGCAGGAATGCACTTTCACTCAGACCTGCTCCATAACTCAATTCTCGAGCCTGGCAGGGGTATTAATAACAACGTGGAATTTGGGTAGTTTTAGGAGAATACACGATGGACCTGGTGTCGAAATTGTCCAAGGCGGCCACCTCTTGTCGAGGAGGAGAGTGGTTGTCTTAGACAGGTGGACTTCTAGGGCAGTGACATTACACTACAAAAAACCCAAAAGGGGAGTGGGAAGTAGTCGTTTGTGTAGGTGATTATCTTAGATTTATACGTGACTCTTAGAGCAAGTTCTCGCTGGATCTAACATGGTCTTATACCAAAAAAGGTATCGAGATTATTATTAGAAAGGAAATGTAATCTGGATAGCAGGTGAGAAAGGGAGATCGGGAGACAGACAGGAACAGAAAGGCGTACAGAGGCTGAGGGAGACAGAGGGACGAATAAGGGTGTACTACGAAAAGAACCAGCTCTACTCACCTGCACTGCACATAGGTCACTTTCTGGACATCCGGATAAATGACATAACAGTCTTTGTTGGCGTAGAAGAAACTGTAGAGGGTGTATCGCTCGTGTGGACACACTCTGGACTGTGGCTGAATGTACGGGTTGACCACTGGGTGGGGGGTCCTGAGATAGGTGAATGGTAGATTTGATAATACATAACACACCCTCCCTCTTTCTCTCTTTTCTCTCTCTCTCTCTCTCCCTCCCTCTCTCTCTCTCTCTCTCTCTCTCTCTCTCTCTCTCT